ATAGGATTACTTTGATGTCCGTCCGTCCGTCTGTCAAGACCCTTTTTCTCTATTAGGAACGCGTGGAGGTATCAAGCTGAATAAATAAAATGGGTGCGTGTATTTATGTAGGCGCGTGAGAAGTTATCCTTCTTTGGCATCGTTTAAAATTAGTTTTTAACACGTATTCCGAATATACAAACTAGAAACATGTGGATAAATATTATAAATATGAATACCTATAACTGTTACTTTATTACAAAAAATAAAGATGTGGTTTTTGGTTCTACTACACCAATGGTCAAGAGATGGCGCTGTAGTCTCCTGAATCGCGCTTTGGTTCCGTTGTTCCAGATTAATAAATACTTTTGATAGGCCTTCACAATGCAGTCGTTAGCACCCACTAAATAGAGATTCTATTTCTAATTTGTTGGTAGGTTTTCTTAATGTGCGGTAAACACAAAAGTAACAGCATGAAGTTTGTCCAACCAACCAACTTCATGCTGTTAATTTTTTGTGTTACAGTGATGCGCGCGCATCTTAAAATTTCACTCTCATCATTTTTTCATAACGCGCCTAAAGAAGTATAACTTCAATAAATAAAAATAAACCCTCGGTTCACAAGTCCGACTCGCACTTGGCCGGTATTTAAATTATGATTTTAATTGACACGTAGGGCCCCATGTCAATTTGAGATCAATGTATTCGCTGTGGGATGAATTTTAGTTTTAATTATAAATTGATTTAGCAAAATTCCTGCAAGTGGGCTTTAGTAACTTAACTCAATTTGGATATGGACCTATCCTTTATTCTGTTTTTTATAAAGAACTACTTTTGCGTTGCATTTTCATAAAGTTGTGATTCACAATGGACCCCGTCATAACAGCACATTGTGAGGCAGAACTTACAGCCTTTGATTAAGGATTCCATTCATTAGGTTGCAGTTTCTTATGATTTATAAAAAAATAAAATAAATAAATAAATATTTCCAACACTCACACCAATTAGCCTAGCCCCAAACTAAGCACTATAAGGCTTGTGTTATGGGATACTAGGGTAACGGACAGAATACATATATAACTATATTTATATAGAAATACATATTAAACATCCATGTCTGGAGTACAAATGTTCGTGTTCATCACACAAACATCTGCCCCCACCGGGATTCGAACCCGGGACCTCTCGAGTCGGCGACACCATGAAACCCGGCGTACAAACCACTCGGCCACGGAGGTCGTCATTTATATATTTATTTTGGACGACAGCGCACCGTGCATCCCGCGGGACTCCTGGCTGCCACTCGTATGTTGATTAAATTAATTGTATTAAGCGATGGGAGGCATGTGGGAGGTGACCCGCGGCCAAGTGGTGATTTGTGACGATTGAGCTAATGAATTCGGAGGTCGCTGCAGCGGCCGACCTGCCACCTCGGGAATTGCACTAAATGCTGAACCAATTGACAGTACTGTAGCAAACATGAAGGGTTGTCACACGTTGAATGTTATATTCAAACTCAAACCAGGGCTTGAAACCGGTTTCGAAAATACCGGTAAATAAAGGTTAATACCAGTTTTTTGTAAAGGTTTCGTTCGGAGCGCGTCCGAAATTAAAGCGGTACCTAAAACCTTAATAAACCGGTTTAATCCAGAGCGACGCGTGCACGCGTCGGCATCGCTTGAAGTTTGTTTTGTTTGAACTAATCAAGTCACAACTTGATAATGCTCAGAGATTGATGCATTTATTGAACCGTTTGCTAGCGTCTAGTGAGTCAAGTTATTCATTTATTTTATCGATGCCGTCAGTAAGAGCGAAATGAAACTCTTTAAAAACCGCTAAATTGATTCAAAACCTATTTTATTCCGCTTTTTAGGAAAACCGGTTTTTGAAAGGTTAAGGTACAGCCAAACCTAAATAAAACGCTCCTAATGTACTTGACACTGATTTAGGTTTGAAAATTAACCGGTAAACAAGCCCTGACTCAAACTCATTTTTTTTTTTGAAATGACATGCGTAATTTATAATGTGGAGAGCGTCTTTCGTTCAGGTTAAAGCGCTCGCCTGGGGCACTTAATTTTCCCACTTACAAATATCTATATTTTGTAGTGCATTCTTAGATAGAGTCGTAGATTTGAGGCCGGTAAGGTGTTTATCCTTTGGAGTAATAGAGCTCATATGGTTAAATATCGAGACAGACAAATCTAAACAAGTATACCCTGCAGTAACAGATGTCACAGACAGACCCGTCTTTCCCAGTGGGCACTTTGGGCAAGTGCCCAGGGCCAAGGATAGGGGGCCCCCTCAGATCAAATACAAAGTCCCTAGTTCCTGTTAAATCACCAAACGGAAGTCATAGGGGCCCCATTATCCTAATATGCTCAGGGCCTCCAATAGGTCAAAGACGGCACTGGTCACAGAGTAGCGGAGAGGCAGTAAATGATCAAGAAGAGGGAGGTGTTAGAAAGAGTTCCTTCATTTCCGATTTGATTCACATAGCGTGAAGCATTCGATAAATCAGTAAAGGATGTTTGCCCGCCTTTTGGCACTGCATCATGCGAGATGGTCTGTTTATATGATTAACATAGAATCACACGCCGCGTCGCGGGGGTTCCCCCGGTCGCCGCCGCCGGCCTCAATCGGAACGATAACATGACGCAACATGCAACACCGGCCGGTGTATCGCCCGAGGGGTTGTTATTGGGTCACGGCACTGCACTGCTGCCGTGCTGAGGATATGCGTAATCTGCTGTTTAAATGATTATCAAAACAATATATGAGTCCTATTTCTCTTGTATGTACCTACAACGTTTTATTTATTAGCTAAATATGTTATATTACATATTAAGAGGAGCTCGATGGCGCGAGCGGTTAGCGCGTTCGGCTGCAATCGTTGAAGTTAAGCAACTTTCGCAGTGGTCGGTCATTGGATGGGTGACCAAAAATCTTCTATCTCGAGTTCCTCCGTGCTAGTTCCACCCGCCAATCCGTACTGGGTCATACCCTAATCTCCCTATTCCATCCATAAAAGGAAGGCCTGTGCCCCAGCAGTGGGGACATTAATAGGATGATGGTGACTTATTTAGCTGTTGCTATCGTAGTAATTTAATGTTAAAAGAAGTTGCTATGTCCTCTCACAGTTATAGTGTTTAGGTACTAGATTTATATTCTATATATATCATGTACACATGTATTTACTTCACCTTTAGAATCACACGATTGTAACACTGTAAATAAACACTTGAACTTGAACTCGCCCGATTAGGGTGGCCTTTGTCATCTATTATCTGTAATTCTGCAGTAACATTGTAAATGAACGTATATAACAGTTATTATATTCATAAGACCTTTCTTTACCTGCACGTTTGACTTTTGTTTATCTATTACTTATTCGTACCTACTAAATGTCATGCAAGATCACTCCAGCGAATGAGCACCGCTATATGATCGACGCGTTTTTTATCGCGTGTAACTGTCAAACTCTATATTATTTTGGCAATTGAGCGTGAAAAAATATAAGACGTTTTTATCACGCTCAATTGTCAAATTAATATAGAGTTTGACAGTTACACGCGATAAAAAACACGATTAATTGTAAATTGTGGTGTTCATGCTACAGGGACAGGCATCCAAACCAACGATATTAAATACCCTAGTTACAGTTACAGCATCGCGAACAAAATTGTGGCCGAAACCTGTCCAAAAGGTACATTGGACGATCCACGGAGCTCCGTAAGATGATCGCGTAGTCAAAAACATTATAAGGCATTATTAAAACATTTAAAGTCACCTTTAAAGCGTACTGTATAAGGTCTTAATTAAAACGCATGCGACAAAGAGTTATGACAGTTGTAAATGCAAACTGTCCCTACAACTGTCAACCTATTGCTATATGCGGAAGAATATAGACATTATTTCTTTGAGTCTACACCCAATTCTGAATTCGCTGTTATGGATTAAAGGCTGTATTACCGACCATGCATTTCAATATCACCAATATTTTGTATACAAATATTTTGATTAGCTGTCGATAAAACGACACTTTACGTACTGTATGTATTTTTTTCACGGAGCCCTGCGGCATGTTAACTTTTCTTTAACAGTCCGCGCGGGACTTAACCAAGAAGTGCGTGAGTGTTGTTCAAGCACTTCTTGATTGGGACACATTTTGAGTACACGCGGTGAATCTAGTGTATTTAATATCGTTGATCCAAACGCCTCACTTGGTCGGCCTAAATCGCCACCCATACCGCGTCTGACGGGCAAGGGACACAATGAGAATCTCTTAGAGAAAATTTTAAAGAAATTAATATTTTAACACTGGCATCGCAATACATCTATGAAAATATAATATATGTAAGAAGAAACTATGACGCATTTGCAAATAAAAGTCAAACCCATAACTTAAACACGAGATTTAAGAACAAGCTTGCCGTTCCATGTTTCAGACTCCAAAAATCAAGAGGTTCATTTCTGGGATGTAGTATTGCATTGTTTAACAAAGTTCCCCAAGATCTGATTGAGCTTCCACTAACCAAATTTAAATCTCAGATTAAGAATACTCTTATGAATAAGGGCTATTATAAAGTTAATGATTATCTAAATGATCGTAATGCATGGACATAGTGTTTCTTGTAATTTCTTATTTGATGGGTATGAGTCAGTTTTGTAACAGTAGTATGGTACCTATCTAATGCCGCTTCCTATATGCTAAATATAAAATTTGTTGTAACTATATATTATACCCTAAATAATGTAATGGAAGGTGACTTCAGAAGTATGTCTGAAGTCATTTTTCAACTTGACGACTCTGTATATATCAATACAGGGAGAAAAAAGCAGCCCTTGCTGAGTTTCTTGCCGGTTCTTCTCAGTACAAGGTCTCCCGCCGTAGTTTTGCGAACCGATGCCGATGGCGTAGCTTCTTGACTTTCACAAGTGCTTGTAACAGCCTAGACTGAATAAATGACTTTTCATTTCATTTCAATGGTCGTCGATAACATCTGTCGCGTGGTGTGTTGCAGGCAAGGTGGTGTGCGGCGCGTGCGGCGGCAAGTGCAGCGGCGAGGTGCTGCGCGTCACCGACAAGTACTTCCACACCGCCTGCTTCACGTGCCGCAGCTGCTCCGCCTCGCTCGCCAAAGGCGGCTTCTTTTGCAAGGACAACCATTACTACTGCCCACAGGTATCTATCTATCTACCCACCAGCCTTTCTTAGATGACAGTCAGCCCCTCGGGGGCTCATGTCTCCCGGCTAGCGGCTAAAGTGGTTGTCTGCTGTCCGTTTGGGCGGCGGGCAGCTCACTAAATGATAAACTGACAGAAACACCTGTTCGGTGACCACTTTACCTAAGTGGTGGCACACCATGCATGTGCCACTTTCGATATAGCAAAATGAGCGTGTGATGACATTCATCGATTCATGTCACGGAGAAAATTATGACGTCTACAAATTATGCTTTTGTTAGCCTCCTAATCTCCTCAACACAGCTACTAGCTCCCTGATCGACCGAGCCCTGACATGATCAGATCACCACAACATGATAAGATTAAATGATGATCTGCGTCACATCCTATGTATAGATATCTTATGTAAGAATAGCTTTTCCCGCGGCTGCGCTCGCGTTAATGTTGAAATTTGTATTCTTTTGTATCTATTTTGGACACAGCAAAGACTGTCAAACGTAGGTACATCCCGAGAGATATTGAACCTTCCCGTATCTCTCGCTGATTAGGAGTTTTTAGTCACCGTCAGTTTATAGGTGTGAACTGTGTATCTGGTACACAAGGTATTATCGTGCTTTGGAATCTCTACCACGGTGGACTCTTTCATTGCCAAGTAACGCACGAGGTTGTAGGCGCATACTCACTGTAGATTTCTTCAAGAACACTGAGAGATGATTGCACCAACACTGTGCGCCTCGAACGCTATAGTCACTCGCAAGGCTACACGGCTTTGCTTGATTGTTATATTTGCACATCAAACTATGTCACTTATTGATTTTACTAAATATTGCGATTGTCACTAATAGATATTAAATTGTCACTAATTGATGTCAATAATTGAGTTATAAATTATCACTAACTGATATGAATTGTCACTTATGTATGTCACTTCAGAATGTCATAGATACTATAGTATTTGCAAATTATTGTCACTGAACGCCCGGTCACTAATATAATATGTCACTTAATATAATCGCAATGCACTGTCAATCCTGTCACTGGTAATACTTTCCTAAACCTCGTACACGTATTTTCGCGAAACCGAAAATCTAGAAAAGTTCTCTCGAAGGACCAAACTGTAGGGGCCGTTACTAGGACCCTAACGACTGTCAATTTGTCAATTAGTCACGGGACGATTGTCAGGAGATAATTATTAAAATACGTCAATATGATGCGAATGCCTTTATTGCACTGTCATATAATATAAAATATTGTTCTTAAACCAATTAGTGGGTCAACTGTGTCAGCAGTTTAGAGTGCATCGATTCGGAATGCAAACTAAATAAAATATAATTAAAATGGCTTGTACACTCTACGTCCGGCTGCTTTCTGTATTTACAGAGAAGATTTCTACGCCTTTGAGTATATGTGGGTTTACCGTATTTTAATATGAAAATATTGCTTCTATAGCTGAAGGATGTCGCCAATCAGTATAGTCACCAGAGCACCTACGATTTGAATGGCCAACATTATCGCTCTAAAGTTCCACTACAAGGCGTCAACATGGATCACCTGTCCTCACTCCGTTAACTAATATTATAACTGCGATGGGATTTGCAATCAGGGTGTTCTTGGGTTCACGTTTAAATGGTATTCAAATTTATTTACAAATCATCTGATATACTTTGATAAAATCACCGGGTGCGTTCTATCAATTCCGATCCTCTTAAAGAAATTAGGAGCTTACGGTGTCTTAAATGGTTTACTAGCTACTTATTTCATTTTCAACGACATGGCCACAACTGGACCGTCACTTCTCATAAACCCGATGAAGTGATGACCACTCGCTTGTTGCTCGGACCATGACAATATAACAATTATACATTGTCACAAGAGGGGCAATTCGTTTAATATGTAACCGTGGTGACATATTAAACGACTTGCTTACAATATTCTAGTTAGTTTAGATTTTATTTCAAATTTAGAAGACTGAGATCTGTTTTTTCTTATTTTTCGTACAGTTGAACAAGTCATCGATGTGGCTATAGTTGCTACGGTCATACGTACAGTCGTTACAAGTTCGTGAGCATGCATAATTAGCGAAGCTCGATCCGACATTAAAAATATCAATGGCGAAGGAGGAAGTAACAAATCTTCTGCCGATTTCCTTTGAACCTTCGCTGGCTTAAATACACGAATGAATGAATCGAAAACATTTGCTTCTCGATTATCGGAACTTTTAAAATACAAGCTTGGAAGATTCTGGTCGTTTTAAACTTAAGATACTTGACAGTGTGATAAGCAGCTGTCTCTCTGAATATGTCTGCATACACGATGCTCAATAGGGTATTTGACAGTATTAAAAATAAAGTGCCAATTGTTAGCATCTGTGTTTAGAATGAATATTGGCAGGTGTTTTTACTGTTTTTACAAAAAAAAACATTTTATATTTTTACTAAAAACCCACGAAAAAGATAATAGTTTTCTTATCTATTGTCACGTGACCCAAAACGCTTGAGATTGGCGGAGCCTAAAATGACGTCACACGCAAGTAAACTTCCGGTTAAAGTGACATTACATGTATCGTTTGACGTTTTAATAACAGTCGTGTGACATCACACATTAGTAAGACGCCATATTGTCCAGAGAAACGTTTTAGCGGCAAATTGAAAATAGAGTTTTTGATTTGGTTATTTTTACTGAAATACACAACAGAATGATGAATATCCACTCTGGACGGACTCCATAAACATTAGTCAATAACGTGAGATCGTTTTCTAAAACTTGTCAAATACTCTATTCGGGTTTAGGCAGGGAGTATCGACTGAGTGCACAATGTTGACCTTGAAACACACCTTTCATTGTTTCCTTGACCTGTCAAAAGCATTCGACCTTGTAGCGTATGATGTCTTTTGGAACAATTTAGGGGATGCGGGTGTACCGGCGAAGTATACATCCGTCCTAAGATACTGGTATGCTAACCAGAAAACCCAGGAGAGATGGGGCGGTGCCTTGTCGGATGAATATTGATAAAGGCTGGACTGCGGTGTCAGACAGGGCGGCTGCCCAAAACCAAAACACTGTAAGCCACATTTGGAATAACAACACCACAAGTTGTTACAAAAGGACTGTCATGTCTGATTACCGCAAATTATATTTAGTACCGGTTCAAGATAAACAAGAATCTACATTCAAGATTTTATGTTGTAGAGACATAGAGATTAATAACTAATTGCACCTTAACTCTACGACGTTCGCACTCAGCACGATGATATATACTTATTTTCAGATTGTTTGCGAGATCTTTATTTAGCTTTCATATTATGCAAAATGCTTGTAATCTATTAATTGTTGTTTTACTTTTATAATCAAAAATTCTGTGTATTCAAATATTGTGACACCAACTTTGACATTCTATCATATAATTTAATTTTTGTGTGTTGTTTCCATTATAATTAATTTGGCTTGTTATGTGTTAAATATTTTTTTAATTCTGTTATTTGTGTTGCGTTTTGGAATTACTGAAAGTTAAATAAAAAAAATACCTAACGCCGAACCACATTTGCCTTTTCCACGTGTTCCTTGTACAAATAATTTTCCTTTTTTTGTATTGCGAATATGATTTCGGTCGGATTGCTCCCGGCCTATATCGATTAACGCGAATTGAAACTTCAGTGTTCCCGTGATTTACCACACATACCTCCTTATTAATAAACGAAGACTCTGCTTGGATTAGTTACTCCATAATTTGTCCCTGTCTATTCAATGACAAATGGCATTTAAGTGATATGAACAAAACACGCACGACGTAACTAGTGTAATCTTATTCCTTGTTTATTAATAAGGGGGAATAGGGTATAATTTGCTGCGCTCTGCTATCTTGCATCGACGACAGCTAACAGGAGAAAGAGTTTAGACCTTTATCGACCTGACATCGGGAAGTGTATAGTCATTTGCTTGGACCGAATTATATTTAAATATCTCACTCAATCCCAGTACGGATTTAAACGATTCGATTGAAATTCGGGCTTTGACATAGTGTCATATAAAACATAAGTAAAACTGATAATAAAAATAAATAAATATTTCCAACACTCACACCAATTAGCCTATATAGCCCCAAAGTAAGCACTGTAAGGCTTGTGTTATGGGATGCTAGGATAACGGAGAGAATACATATACTGTACATATATAAGGTATATTTATATAGAAATACATAGTAAACATCCATGAGTGAAGTACAAATGCTCGTATTCATCACACAAACATCTGCCCCCACCGGGATTCGAACCCGGGACCTCTCGAGTCGCCTACACCGTCAAATAAAGATTGAAGTTTGAATTTAGTATACAGTTTCGATCTACAATACTCGTGATTAGAATGTGTAACACAATTAAAGTATAAGTTAATGACATTACCTTGTCTCGTGGTATGATATGAATCGTACGATGACATCACACGCACGTTGAGGTGAAGCGAAAGTGGCACATGACATAAGTGAGGTAAGGGTGCGGTCATCGCACAGGTGTTGTGCCGCGGTGTGTTCCGTAATATAAACCAGTATACTGGCCAGTGCTAATGACGTCAAGAATCGACGCCATGCTGTTGATTCGTTCCAAAATTTCCAAATACACTGATCAGCGCGGTGACGTCATGAACTGGCGCTATATTCAAGCAGTCTCGTGTTTGTGTGCAACTTTCGTGCTCCAAAAATTATAATAAAGTGTGTAAATCCCGTTATTGAAGTGAAACTTCTTTATCGGCGTTGGAAAAAAATTTACCGTCACATTTTTATTCGGTTACGCGTCACGTTTTTTGGTTACGCGCCATCTTTTTTTTAAAAGAGCACTATTTACCTCATCCGAACAATTGCTTCCTCTGTCAACTTTAAAAAAAAAAGTATCGACAGCAAATATTCGTGTTTCACACAAGGTAAGGTAAGGTAAGGTAAGGTAAGGTAAGGTAAGGTAAGGTAAGGTAAGGTAAGGTAAGGTAAGGTAAGGTAAGGTAAGGTAAGGTATAGTTATACCCCTTTAGTGGGTGAGTATTTGAAAAATCTTAGCGCACGCCTATATATATATTTCTGGAAAGTTGCATGTAGATCATTTTTCGAAAAAAATAAGGCCATAAAGAAGTTTCACTTCTTACGTGTGTACACTAGTACACGCACACATTTTTTTCCCCTCATCGTTCAAAACTAATTTTTCTGTTTGTTGAGATTCCATTATTATCAATTTAATACGAAAAAGACCTTCACTAACTGCAGAGCGTATACACCCAGCTATTATACGTCACAGTATTCTCACCAGCATAATATGGCGGCACACCAGTGCAATATGGCGTCGAAATCTTGACGTCATTACCGCTGGCCAGCGTACTGGCATAAGTTTCGGAACACACCCTCGGTGTACATACTACATCGGGGTCAGTCGTCGCCCTCCGCCCGCCGCCCGCCGCCCGCCTCCCGCCGGCGCGCGATATTGGTTCTAATCATTTGCATTGTAAATAGCAGCTTATGCTTGTAGGGACAAATCTAGTACGTACTTAATCGGAACCTCGATACCAAAGATCAAGAGGCCGATTCCCTAATTCTCCTAGTCAATGTGACATAAAAAATGACGCAAAACTTACACAGTTAGGCATCTGGACTTGAAACGTCGTGCGTGTTATCATATACGTCCCATTGTCTGTCCAGAGTATTTTAGAGTCAGCAATGTGTATTTAGCAGTGTGTATTTTAATATCTGTTACTAGCTGACCCAGCGTACTTCGTATTGCTTACAATAATTTGGAAGAAATAATAAACGACGAACGTCAAATGTTTGACAGGAATATACACATAGCCATCTGTCGGATCCAATGTAAAACATTCCAAAATCGACAACTACTAATAAATTAAAAATTAATTAAAAAAACATTGTCCAGCGGACAAAATTGTGAATCTAAACCATTCTCAGATCCCCTTGAACACACACAAAAAATTTCATCGAAATCGGTCCAGTCGTTTAAGAGAAGTTCAGTGACGTACACACTCACAGAAGAATTATATATATAAAGATACATTCGTATGTATCTTTATATATATAATTCTTATTATATAACATATTATGTTCTAAGCTTCGTAGCTTAGAACATAACCGGCGTCGTCTCTACCAGGCGTGCGGGATACAAATATTATTTGTTAACCACCCACTTATAAGCCGCATTCTGAAACGTTAATTAAATTAAATGCTTCATTAAATCTCGTCTTATTTAACGCACTACAGTAAATCACTTGTGATAAAGTGTCGGTAAAATATCAGCAGAACACTAAAACAATCTCTTATCTATTAGACGAGTCCGTCTGTCCGTGGTGCTGTTTCAGCGGCCAAACCGTAAGAGATAGATAAAGAGAATGTTTAAGTTATAAGTTAAGAATAGTCTGATAAGACTACAAACCGGATTTGAGTAACGTAGCACTTTCGGTTTTCGAGAAATCACGATTTTCAAACGAAACCACACAAAATCTCCGAAGTTCTCAATTAGTTAAATACATTTTTTTTTAAATCAGGTTTTGGTGAATATTTTGTTCACTGGTTTGCTAGTAATTTAATTAATGAACTCTCACGATGTATGTGAATTTTCCAAGCCTGCAGCGTCAAGGTGACAGAGGTCAGTCACAAGCCTCCACTCATACTTGACCTTTAAACGGGGCAAGGTCACCGGGCTTGGCTCTAAACAATAGAAAGAAACGCCTGCGTCCTGCCGCCCAACTGTTGTTATCAATCATCTCTCTCCCAAGGAGCACTCGTTTTATACAAATTTGCGTTCGAATCAAGAAATTCACAATATTTTTTTCTTCTCGCTCGATTTCTCAATTTTTGCAAAGTATACTTTCAACATATTCTCTATATTTCATTACGATTACGTATCGGTATTTGGTTTTTACTCCATAACATTAACGCAAGATTCGGAATTGCAGAAAATCAGGGTCATGTGACATAGGTGTCAAAGGAGTGATTCAAAAGAGTGATCTTGTGCTTGTGTCGTGTCACCGCGTAGTGTTAGCGTGTAGTGTAACGTTTTGCACCCGAGATACAGGTCTCCTAGTTCAGGTGCAGATGTATTTTTATGTTGTTGGTTGATTGTTTTATTATTGTAAGATTCTATAAAATTTTGTGTGCAAAAAATTTTTTTGGTGACCAATAAATTATATCTCCTTTCTTATACCTACCTTTCTTATATAATAAGTAAAATAGAGTGCTAGGTATTTATACATTAAACTATTTTAACTGTAGAACTGTAGTATTTAATTATTTGCACAGCCTGGCATACGAGCAGACCGAAGAATTACTTCTTATTTGTAAATAAATGAACGTAACTTCATAATTTACATTTACCAACATTTATACAATGATTACTTTAAGTTCTGTTTTAATTAATTTGTTAATTTATTAATCATTCAATGTATTATTTAGATCATAAAAGCCTGAAATACAGGTACAATTTTAACTGTAACCTAGTTCAGGCATCCATTATTTTGTACTTTATATTGTTATTAGTTTTATTATGCAATGTATGACCTTATTTGAATAAAGATATATTTATTATTATAATTGCTTGTGTCGCAGGACTACCAGCGCGCGTTCGGCACGCGCTGCGCCGCGTGCAACCAGTACGTGGAGGGCGAGGTGGTCTCCGCGCTCGGCAACACCTACCACCAGAAGTGCTTCACGTGCGCGCGCTGCAAGTGAGTACAATGTCATTCAACTAACAATAGGACCGACTGGGCTCCATAGGAGACATATTTTCTTTTTAATAATCAGAAATCAATATATCTTTATTCAAATTGGATATATAGTACAACACTTTTGAATCGTCCAAACATTTTTTTCCCTACCACTCGTTATTGGACATATTTTTTAGCTGCGGAGAAAAACGAGCGAAAAAAAAAACTCCACAACATTAAAAGAATAATGTAACAACATTTACAAATCATTATGTTGTTACAACGTCAATTATATCATGATTTATTTAATAATATTTACTTATTAAGACTGAGAAAAAAATAAAAAAAAACAATTTTTATCATCATCACTGCTGCTTTGGGCTATAAAATAAAATATCAATTATTGTAGGTATTAAAACGACAACATTATTCTTGGTTATTTAAAAATATAAACGGTCTTTTTATTACCTGTATTTGTAATAAAACTAAAGTTCGTATATTTTCTTTGTCCAGTACTCATTTTCTATACGTTTCATATGATTTATTTCCTCCTTTTGCTCAGTGCTAAAAAAAGTGTTCTAAGTTTTTTTTTGCAAACCGTACTTTTCAAGCGACATTTGACAGATGGAGGTCATTGGCTTTCCTATTCTTCTTTGAATCGTATAATATAAAGACACACTCCATGGGCCACCTACTGTACCAGCCTCAACATAAAACTAATTCCATGGGGTACCATGATGGTGTACTAACAATGCATCTTACGTTGTTCAATAAGCTGAGTAGTTTTGAATTTGCATGCATATACCGCCTTGGTTCCGCCTCAGTCTGTCACAAGCTAACAGCTAACACTCTTTTATTTACTGTGTATTTTACAAGACGTAACCGGTACTTAGATTAAATCATAAAGGGAAAATACGGTACGCTTTTACTTGCGTGTAATAAAAAGTAATCTACCTCAACTACATACAAAAGTAACTCACACACACACGCCTAATAATAAATAAATATTTCCAACACTCACACCAATTAGCATAGTCCCAAAGTAAGCACTGTAAGGCTTGTGTTATGGGATACTAGGGTAACGGATAGAATACATATATTAGTATATTTATATAGAAATAGATATTACTAGCAAACCAGTGAACCAAATGTTCACCAAAACCTGATTTCTCGAAAACCGGAAGTGCTACGTTACTCAAATCCGGTTTGTAGTCTTATCAGACTATTCTTAACTTATAACCTTAATATTCTCTTTATCTATCTCTTACGGTTTGGCCGCTGAAACAGCACCACAGACAGACGGACGGACTTGTCCAATAGAGATACATCCATGACTGGAGTACAAATGCTCCTATTCGTCACACAAACATCTGCCCCCACCGGGATTCGAACCCGAGACCTCTCGAGTAGGCGACACCATGAAAGCCGGCGTACAAACCACTCGACCACGGAGGTCATCAAATAAATCATTCAATCGAGCGAGCGAGGCAGAACTTTTTGTCGTAACGCAGCCGCTAGCGTCGCTTGGCAACCGACTGCGTTTTCTTTCCTCTCTCTCTACAAACGGCTGAGCTGTATTGTTGTCCTTTTCTAGATAACAAATAGCGAATATAAGCGAATAGCATTTATGACATACCGTGATTTTCGTAAAAACTGTTTTTGTAGTTATAGGAATGAAGAGTGTTGCCGTGGAATGTGTTATTGTTCTTGAACTACACACATCAAAAGAATAGTTGATATTTTATATAATTTATACTCCCTATTTAAATATAAGTATTAACAATATTAAACATCGCTCAAAAGTCCAAGTCGTTTAGACTCTTCTAATGAGTATATTTGTGCAGAAACAGCGAAGGAATTTGTTTTGTATTTTTAACACATAATATCCGCAATTTTTTTGTATTAAGAGCACATGTATCAGCGTGTTTGGATGTCAAATTAAATTCTGTCTAAAGCGAATGTGTGTATGCACCTTATTTAAGCGGCGCCCTTTTGACCTGCGAGTGCCTTATCTTCCCTTTTTGATTTCATCTAAGATCCGGTACGGTGAAGCGCAAATCTGTAATTTGATTTAGTTTGTACTTATATTGTGATGTATTCATATATAAAAGGGAAATAGGCTTTTGAAAGCATATAACTTTTTAGTAAAAAATGCTTATTCTGTCATGTTTTCTAGCAGTGGTTATTTTGAATTATTCTCTTTTGTTGACGTCCCAGATTCGAATTCTGGTGGGTGCAGATGTTTGTATGATGAATACGAGCATTTGTACTCCAGTCATGGATGTCTATATAAATATATGTGTTTCATCCATTACTCTAGCATCCCATAACACAACTCTTTATAGTGCTTACTTTGGGGATAGGCTAATTGGTGTGGAAGTTAGTGACGTGACGTCACTTCATAGTCTAAATTGTACCAAGACGTGACGTCATGCGACATTTCAAATCAACATGTTTCTGTTATGTATTAATTGTGTGAATTGAGAAAAAATACGCGTTTTATACTTTTTGATAATGCTCCTGATAGACGAAGAAAAAAGTTAGTAATCATTTCACAGATCAAACCTAGCAGAGCATGGGGATAGGACCAGAACATCTCTGTGCCATCCAAGAAAGTTTGTGATGCAGATTTTCAAGGGCAATGTTCTGAGTTTTTTGAAAGCTGTCGGCCTAAAAGAGATCCTTTAACTCGGTGGGGAATCACAATATATCTTTCAGGTCGCAGAGACCACAGTTCCATTAGGGCTGCATAGCCTTAGAAATCTGAAAAACTTGTAGTCATCATGTAGTAACATAAGTTATTTACGGGAGTGTTACCATGTACCTTGTTTAGCGAGTTTCCGATATTTCGGCACTGTTGCAAGCGCCATGATCACGGAGTAACTGAAGTAATTGCGGGTAGGCTGTTATTGGCGGACATATCGGTCTACCCTCCGACGAAGTCTTTTATTGCGTTCGATATCCGTACCACTGTTCACATTCTCACTATTCACTCGAAAGTGTTCTCGACACACAACACTTACAGTATCGGATCGCGACACGACACTTTTTTGATTATTTCCGGTTTTACCCATACGAACCGCAGGATTCCAGACACTCGACAATTTAAACCCGTCCTCACGATTGAAATTTTTTTGTTTTGTAATTTCAATCGCTTTCCTGACCAATCTTGGTATGTAGTGGCGTTCCGTCGAGATAATCTGTGGGTTATGAAACTCAATTCAGTGCTTAGGACCAGAATCGATCAAATGTTCTGCGTTGGCTGATTTCTGCGTATCGTTAATGACTTAACAATCCCGTAAATAACTTATCTAATATATAAAATTGTCGTGTCGCGGTGTTTGTGGTTAAACTCCTCCGAAACGGCTTTCCCGATTCTCATGAAATTTTGTGTACATATTGGGTAGGTCTGAGAATCGGACAACATCTATTTTTCATCCCCTAAATGATAAGGGTAATCCACCCTTAAATATTTTTTTTTTCTATTTTCGATAATATTTTTTTTAATTTTTCTTATGATACTTCATATAATATACATGAAAATAGATATATATATATAGATATTTATCCGTGGGGTCCTAGCGCTATAAGGCTTTTCAAAGAAATAGCGAAAAGATTAGTCGACATCACAGGAGATCGAAGAGCTGGCAGCTACCTCGGACAAAGAATTAGTCTAGCTATCCAAAGGGGGAACGCTGCCAGTATCTTCGGAACCTTGCCTAAAGGGACTCCTTTTAATAATGTATTTTAGTTATTATATTTTATTTTTTAAGGTTTTTAGTTTTAGGTTCATTGTTATAGTATATTTTTTGTTTTAATTATTCTTAAATTTATTCATATTGCACCATATTGTTTTTTGTAATAATAGTCATGTTGTGAAGCTCTCTAATTAGCTTAAGATTTATTGAATGAAGTTTTGATATATATATCATAGATACATCCCTAAATTTTCAACTTTCTACCACCAACCTCTACTTTTTTATGGCGGTACGAAGTTCGCTGGGTCAGCTAGTATTACTATAATGTTAGTGACCATGAAAGTTCGTTTAAAATAATATATAGTCATCATGTATGTATGACGACCTCCGTGGCCAAGTGGTTTGTACGCCGGGTTTCAAGGTGTCGCCGACTCGAGAGGTCCCGGGTTCGAGTCCCGGTGGGGGCAGATGTTTTTGTGATGAATACGAGCATTTGTGCTCCAGTCATGGATGTTTAATATGTATTTCTATGTAATTATACATATATATATGTACTGTATATGTATTCTATCCGTTACCCTAGTATCCCATAACACAAGCCTTACAGTGTGCTTACTTTGGGACTAGGCTAATTGGTGTTAGCGTTGGTAATATTTATTATTTATTTATTTATTATGTATCCCTATTATCGTGTTGTCAGACGCGCGTTTCCTTCGGGCGAGAAGGTGACGTACACGGGCGCGGAGGTGGTGTGCTCTCAGTGCGTCGCTCCGCAGCGTCAGACGGCGCGCGCGTCATCAGCTGCGCCTGCGCCCTCGCCCTCGCCAGCCCCCACACCCGCGCCAGCCCAAGCTGTCAACAACCGCGCCCCCGTCTCGCCGGACCGCAACCACGAGCCCAATCCCAACGGTGAGATGCACCACAACACTTTCATCATCATCAATGGCTCGACATAGATGGCGCTGCAAACGCTTGACCCAAACCACAGCCGAATATTGCAGCTGTCAAATTTTGAACGTGTTTTTTATTGTTAAATATATTAAATAAGTAGTGAACATGTTTTCAACATGGTCTGTAATATAGCTGAAAACAGAGTTGAAAAGGAGAGGAGCATCTGTGCAAGGCAGAAAAGCTGATCTAGTGGAAAGGTACTCTTTCTATTATTATGCTAGGATGCTCATTCTCGGTACATAGATGCATTTTCCATGATTATTTTAATAATTCATGGATGTCAGTAATTTTTAGCAGGCTGATTAGTTAAATCTATCTTATTTTTGCATCAGTCAGACATCTCATAGAGTTAGGTTACCTCTGGCTAAAATGGGAAGTATAACATTGGGTTTTTTTACAGTCTTGGGGCATAAGAACGCAATTTTAATTTTGGTGCAGTTTTTTCTGATCAAATTGAAGACATCCAGATGCAATTACCTGCTCCAGATACATACCATGATGTATACAGCAGCTCAGTTTTACCGCCCCTTTCGAAGAAACATATAAAATTATATTTTAGTCGGTAAGCATGCAGTTTTCTTACAACAACCAAGAACTGCACAACGCGGCATTTGTAATTTGTTTAATAAAAAGCTTAAAAATGAATATAAGCTAATAGGTATGTATTTGATAGAAGTTTTGGGTCAAGCGATTACAGCGCCCCTAGTGACCAAATTTTTCAGATTTCTTGTCCATTGTGAAACTACGACGAACCGGCAAGAAACTTGTTGACAAGCGCTGGTTTTTTCTCCCTGCATTTTGAAGAGTCGGCAAGTTCAAACATGACTTCAGAGACGTCCATGAAGTCACATTCCGATCAAGGGCATCATGCGCTGGCCTTCAGAGTACTGCCGTGATTCACCACGCTCGCCCACTGGGGGCGACTGCAAATGCAGTCGGGACCGACGGCTGTACGTGCCTCATGAAGCCTGGAGGAGTTCGAGTTAATAAGTTTTTGGTCACAATGACCCACCATTGGGAAAGTAGTTTAATGGACAAGAATTCTGCAAAATTTGGCCACTAGGGGCGCTGTAATCGCTTGACCCAAAACTTCAAACACATACCTATTAGTTTATATTTATTTTTAAGCTTTTTAATAAACGACTGTTGTGAGAAAACTGCATGCTTACCAGCTAAAATATAATTTTATATGTTGCTTTGAAAAAGGTGGGGGGGGGGGGAGGGGGTAAACTGAGCTGCTGTTTACTTCATTTTGATCAGAAGAAACTGCACCAAAATTAAAATTGTCCTCAAGTCTATAAAAAAACCCAATGTTATACCACCCATTTTGGCCAGAGGTAACCTAACTCTATGAGATGTCTGACTGATGCAAAAATAAGATAGATTTGACACTAATGAGCCCGCTTAAAGCTACTCAAATCCATGAACTATAAAAATAATCATGGAAAATGCATCTATGTACCGAGAATGAGCATTCTAGTATAATAATAGAAAGAGTACCTTTCTACTAGATCAGCTTTTCTGCCTTGCACAGATGCTCCTCTCCTTTTCAACTCTGATTTCAGCTGTACTACAGACCACGTTGAATACATTTTCAACACTTATTTAATATTTTTATCAACAAAAAAACACGTTTAAAATTTGACAGCGGCAATGTTTGGCTGTGGTTTGGGTCAAGCGTTTACAGCGCCATCTATGTCGAGCTTTGCGTATACTTCTTCATTGTTATTGCAATGAGGGCTATCGCGTATGAATCCGCCGCTAGAGGCGCTAGTGTAGCGTGAGGTCTCCGAACTGTCAAATGTTATTGCTTGTGGGTTGACTACGCGGGTTTATTTCTAATTAAAATAATGTTGTGAATATTTGGTGAAAACTCGGCATAATTATGGCAAATATGGGTTACGCGGTAATGAATGTCAGTTATTTTAAAGCGGAGCTAAGAAAAATTAGTATGTCCTCCTTTTTTCCGAACAAAACGGAACTGCGCGTCACTGTGGCATGACCGATTATGTTAAGGATACGGTTCTTTTGTATTAAAATGTGATTTAAATGTAAACTTTGATATCACGTGCATATGAATAAACTTTAAAAGTTTAAATTCAGGACCTCACTCAACAGTGGCGCCATCTGGTGAGACAGAAAACGGTAGCCCTCATTCGAATGAGCTAACCAGTGTTTACATATATCACTTTTGTTAACTTTTGTGTTGTGTTACAGAGTGCGCCGGCTGCGGGCAGGAATTGTCGGAAGGTCAAGCGTTAGTCGCATTGGACAGGTATGTATACGGATATCATCGTTACCTATGAATGTCTACAAACTACTGGAGTATGAGCTTTCTCCCCGGGCTGAGATCACGGAGAAAGTTCTTTGATAATTAAATAATAATAACTAACTACAGGTAGTTTCTTAAATGTTGGGTCCTAATATAACGATTCTGTAGCATCATGGGCTGTTCATCTAATGACTTGTCGTTGCGAAAAATGTTTTCATTTACTCTCAACGGTATTAAATACCCTAGATACACCAACACGAACAAAATCATGCTCGAAACCTGTCCAAAAGGTACATTGGACGATCCACGGAGTTCCGTAAAATGATCGCGTAGTCTAAACAATATAAGGCATTATTTAAACATTGCAAATCACCTTTAAAGCATACTCTACAAGGTCTTAATTAAAACGCAGGCGTCAAAGAGTTACGACAGTCCGAAATGTAAGCTCGTAAAATTCTACGACTTTTTGCTATATGCGGAAGAATGTGGACCTTATTTCATTGACTCTACGCGCAATTCTGAATGCGCTGTTACAATATAGCAGGTACGGACCGCGAGGAAAAGAGACGGCTATGCTAATGCTGGTCATGCATTTGAATATCACAAATATTTTCTATTAAATCAGTTTATAGTAAGCATTTAAACAAAATTTGCTTCAAATACGTTAAATTAACATTGATTAGACATCTATCGAAAAAATGACATTTTACATACTATAAGTATTTATTTATTTTGCATTTTTTTCACGGAGCTCAGTGGCATGTTGTTTTTTCAACGGTCCGCGCGTGACTGTGAACGAAGAAGTGCTTGAGTCGTGTTCAAGCACTTCTTGATAGGGACACAATTTTGAGCGCACGTGGTGTATCTAGGGTATTTAATATCGTTGTTTGCTCGATTCAATCACAACAGTCTGTGAGTCTTCTCCCTCGTTATGTGATGTCGTGTAACACAATTCTGGAGAGAACAGTTAACTTAATCATTAAAGCACAAATAATGCAATTTTTAAATATTGTAAAGCCAGATTTATATTTGTCTGTCGTGTTGTGTCGTGACGGGCTCTGATGTGATGGGTAGTGTTCACATCTATCCGATGCCTTTTGACGTAGCGTTGCCAGAACTTTAGTTTTGTAACATTTTGCGTTACTTTTGGCCCTGTGGTGTTACCTGACTCAAAACGTTAAGTACATTTTGCGTAAAAGAAAATATTCGGTAAATAACATTCATTTCCCAAATCCCGTTTAACTGAAAATGATTTGTCCGGATTATTTTAATTAGATGGATTATGATTATTAAAATTACATAATTAAGTCGGTAATCTATTTAACATGTTTGAAACGCTTGCTTCGTCACTTGATGCAAGATTGTCCAAGTCAGAGGTACGAGACATTTTTAGAATTCCATCCAAACCTGATCAACCAAATTCTGCGGTGGTGGCTGAACTATCTTCTACTCTTACTAAGGAAAACATCTTAGTCGCTACTAAAAAAAATGTGTGCGTGTACTAGTGTATACACGTAAGAAGTGAAACTTCTTTATGGCCTTATTTTTTTCGAAAAATGATCTACATGCAACTTTCCAGAAATATATATATAGGCGTGCGCTAAGATTTTTCAAAAACTCACCCACTAAAGGGGTACACCTTACCTTACCTTACCTTACCTTACCTTACCTTACCTTACCTTACCTTACCATACCTCACCTTACCTTACCTTACCTTACCTTACCTTACCTTACCTTACCTTACCTTACCTTACCTTACCTTACCTTACCTTACCTTACCTTACCTTACCTTACCTTACCTTACCTTGTGTGAAACACGAATATTTGCTGTCGATACTTTTTTTTTAAAGTTGACAAAAGAAGCAATTGTTCGGATGAGGTAAATAGTGCTCTTTTAAAACAAAGATGGCGCGTAACCAAAAAACGTGACGCGTAACCGAAAAAATGTGACGGTAAATTTTTTTCCAACGCCGATAAAGAAGTTTCACTTCAAAAACATAATACTTCTTCTCGTATAAAATAAATCTTTATTTACTTATCATTTATCTAAAACAGTTTTTTTTTTAAGTTTGAACTTTTATTGAAATGTCAGGCTTTTCGTTCGACCTTTTCAAATTACCTTAATTTGGTCACCCATCCAATGACCGACCGCTGCGAAAGTTGCTTAACTTCAACGATCGCAGCCGAACGCGTTAACCACCTGCGCTATCCAGTTCCTCTTATAATAAATAAATCCTATTCCAATTCAAATCTAACCTTACTAAATGTATGAAACCGATACCGCTCTGATGCATTCACGACACAACACGACATACAAATATTCGACGACCTCCTTGGCCGAGTGGTTTGCACGCCGGGTTTCATGGTGTCGCCGACTCGAGAGGTCCCGGGTTCGAATCCCGGTTGGGGCAGATGTTAGTGTGATGGACACGAGCATTCGTACTCCAGTCATGGATGTTTAATATGTATTTCTATATAAATATACTTATATATGTACAGTATATGTATTCTATCCGTTACCCTAGTATCCCATAACACAAGCCTTATAGTGCTTAGCTTGGGGCTAGGCTAATTGGTGTGTGTTGCTAAAAAAAAATATATAAATCTGTGTTTCTTAGGTTTTCACGCACATCACTCATTAAATATAACTAGTTTTTACAGGTTAATGCACGAAACTTTATTTCGGAACCGGTAGTAGTTTGCGGTAGTTAGGGTCAAATAAATAAACTCAAAATTACAAAAAGGAATTTTAAATAAAATACTTTATTAAGTAAATTAAATAATAAATTCATACATAGACAATAAACCTTTAAAAATCGAACAATGAAATAACCGAACGCTCAATAAAAGTCTTTCGAAGGTAGCTCGACAAATTAAATAAAAGTTTGATTCTGAAGACGTAGCCTGTAATGGCTACGAAACGTCAATAAATAAATTAAGTTTTGTGCATTAAGCCGTAAAAACTAGTTTTATATAAATTTGGCATGAGATCACCGCAGTTCTTAAGAGTACGGTAATTTAGTTTACCGAATAAATAAATATAATAAATAAATAATAAATATTTCCAACACGCACACCAATTAGCCTACGCCCCAAAGTAAGCACTATTAGGTTTGTGTTATGGGATACTAGGGTAACGGATAGAATACATATATAAGTACTAGCTGACCCGGCGAACTTCGTACCGCGCAAAAGTAATAATTTGCAATAAATTTAAATTGCGACTATAATTTGAGATTTAAACTATCCTATCTCTCAAGTTGGATCGAACTGCACATGGTGTGCGAATTTTATTATAATCGGTTCAGTGGTTTAGGAGTCCATTGAGGACAAACATTGTGACCCGAGATTTATATATATTAAGATATTTATGTAGAAATACATATTAAACATCCATGACTGGAGTACAAATGCACGTATTCATCACACAAACATCTGCCCCCACCGGGATTCGAATCCGGGACCTCTCGAGTCGGCGACACCATACAAACCCGGCGTACAAACCATTCGGCCACGGAGGTTGTCATCATCAGCCTATTAATGTCCCCACTGCTGGGGCACAGGCTTCCCTATGGATGGAATAGGGAGATTGGGCCATGACCCACCACGCGGGCCCAGTGCGGGTTGGTGGGTGCTAACGACTGCAGATGCAGCCGGGACCAACGGCTTAACGTGCCTTCCGAAACACGGAGGAGCTCGAGATAGTAAATTATGGTCACCCATCCAATGACCGACCACTGCGAAAGTTGCTTAAATTCAACGATCGCTGCGGAACGCGCTAACCACTTGCGCCATCGAGCTCCTCATTCAGGTTGTCAATTGACTTGAATTTGGCCGCGTTGTCCCACAGACAATGGCACACGTGGTGTTTCTGCTGCGGCTCGTGCGGCTGCGTACTGTCCGGCGAGTATATGGGGCGGGACGGAGCTCCGTACTGCGAGAGAGACTACCAGCGGTTATACGGCGTGCGCTGCGCTTATTGCCAGCGGTATATCTCCGGGAAGGTGTTGCAGGCGAGTATACCGAAAAACGCACGACAAAACTGTGGAATATATTGTCGCCACCAGTGTTTCCGGACCAATACGACCATAGATTAAAACAAAAATGGGCGCGTGTACTTATGTAGGCGCGTGAGAAGTTATCCTTCTTTGGCATCGTTTAAAAATTAGTTTTTAATTGCATGCAAATAATTAATTACAATAAATTAATAAAAAGTCTGGAAAAGGACGAAGTCAATAAAGTTCAGTTTTAATTTGAAAAAATAAATAAATAACCAAAATATTCAATTAAAATCGCTACTGAATATAATTTATTAGAACATATGTGATTTGCACTTGTATGAAACTCAAACACGTATTCCGAATATACAAACTAGAAACATGTGGATAAATATTATAAATATGAATACCTATAACTGTTACTTTATTACAAAAAATAAAGATGTGGTTTTTGGTTCTACTACACCAATGGTCAAGAGATGGCGCTGTAGTCTCCTGAAACGCGCTTTGGTTCCGTTGTTCCAGAATAATAAATACTTTTTGTTACTTTATTACAAAAAATAAAGATGTGGTTTTTGGTTCTACTACACCAATGGTCAAGAGATGGCGCTGTAGTCTCCTGAATCGCGCTTTGGTTCCGTTGTTCCAGATTAATAAATACTTTTGATAGGCCTTCACAATGCAGTCGTTAGCACCCACTAAATAGAGATTCTATTTCTATTTTGTTGGTAGATTTTTCTTAATGTGCGGTAAACACAAAAGTAACGCATATGCTGTTAAATTTTTGTGTTACAGTGATGCGCGCGCATCTTAAAATTTCACTCTCATAATTTTTTCATAACGCGCCTAAAGAAGTATAACTTCAAAAAGGGTAGATACGGTCCGCTCATTCTTGCATCAAACAAAAACTGATCCCACGGCAGCGCGAACGGGACGGCGAGATCCGCGTCACTGCATTACCGACCCGAACGAGGTTTCAACGGCAGCGCGAACGAGACGGCGAGACCCGCGTCACTGCATTACCGACCAATCACGCGACCAGCACTCGACGTCACTACCGAATAAGATTCAAAACAAACAGCATTTTTTATGAAAAATTATATTTTATAGTACTTACGAATGAAAAGTGATGCTGTGGGTTTTATTTTTAGTTCTTGAGCAATTTGAGCACTTTTTAAAAACATACATTGTTTTATCATATAAACACAAAATATTATCAATATTTCTTTTTGGCGTTCACATGTACGTCGTTTGCATGTCAAGTTGTGACTAAAGCGATTAGGGTCGTGGACCACAATTGGTGCGGATCACTTTTGTGAGGCTAGTGCCGTATCTACCCTTTTTGTTTTAATCTAAGAATACGACCCAAAAACCTTCAAAAAAAGAGCGTACTCCTTCCTTAAAGGCCGGCATCGCATTTGTGATACTCCTGGTGTTGCAAGTGTCCATGGACGACGGTGATCACTTACCATCAGGTGAGCCGTCTGCTCGTATGCCACCTATAACATAAAAAAAAATACCTCCACTACACCCAGTGGCGGGGCAAGACAAGGGCCGGATTTAGAGGTCCAGAGGCCTCGGGGCAACGGAGGAGCGGAGGCCCCCTCACCCCAAATTATTTTCCAAATAAAGTAAACAATTTTTTTTCAGTCGAGTTTTTCAATAAATAATTTATTGTGAACCAAGTAAAGATGATAAGTAAAGAACCGAAAGATGTTTACTAGTATTTACTAGTTGGAATTTGAAAGATTTTTTTTCCAAAGTCTCTATTGTGGGGGCCCCCCGTTTGTCCTAAATCCGGCAGTGGGCAAGACCTAAATTTGATGTGGGCAAGACAGATTTCACGAGGCCCTGTTCTGTGGCGACCTGAAGACGGATTTTATAAAATATTTAGCTGAGCCAGCGAACTTCGTACCGCCATAAAAAGTAAGGGTTGGTGGCAGAAGGGTGAAAATTTAGGACTGTATGTATTTTTGTATGATGTATCATAAAAAAAATTAACCCTTAACATTTAGGGGGATGAAAAATAGATGTTGTCCGATTCTCAGACCTACCCAATATGCACACAAAATTTCATGAGAATCGGGAAAGCCGTTTCGGAGGAGTTTAACCACAAACACCGCGACACGAGAATTTTATATATGTATTAGATAAAAAAAAGAAATTCGCTATTAAGCAATGCATAAAAATTTTTGAGGCGCGAGGCCCCTTGTACCGCGAGGCCGTAGGCGGTGGCCCACGTCGCCTACGCCTTACGGCGCCTTGACTACACCTACCAGCGTCTACCAAACAGGACATGATAAAATTCTATATAAAGAAAATATGACTAGGAAAAAATTCCACGCGGCTCAAGCAGCAGACGGGACTTGAACCCGCACCTTTCGCAATCCGGGCGAATGCACTGACTAATTATGCTACCGCGGCCCTCGCGGACCGCGTCGAAATTTCTCGAGCTATTCTTAAGCTGCAAGGCAGCGCCGTCTATTCGCATTATAGGTAACCCACAATGTCAAATGAATACTTTTACAAGTATTAAACATTTGGAAGAAGAAATAGCAATTATAGTTATATATATATTTTTAATTGTGGGTTACCTATTGTTTAGTGTCCCAAAAAGGAGGTGGAACTAACTAAATAATTAAACACCTGTTCCAATTTTAAATAGCGAGAGAGCGTTTATTGCTTTTACATAACATACTTATATTTCAAACAAAACCAAATGGTAACGTGATTCAGTGAACCGATCCTGCCATCTATCGTACAAAAAGTAAAGTAATTCTAAACATACCGCCCACCATGGACAGCATGTCCATTATAAATGAAATTTAATTAACAAACATAAACCAAAAGTTCATCTTTTACAGTAAGTAAACTAAAAAATACAAATTCATGAAAAATACATAAGTAAAACACGCAATAGCAGCAATATAACCTTGTCTTACATCAAAATTAAATAGTTTACATAGATTATAAATATTTCCAAAATTAAATTATAATGCATTTAAGTATTCAACATAACTCACACTCACTCTCATGATCACTCATCATCAATATCATTTATAATAACAAGACTTTATTACAGTAGTAAGTACAATCGAAAATATACAAGAATAATACTACCTATATAAGTCTTTGAAAGTACTGAATAGTGAGAACTTAATTAAGTAAAATATGAATATTGTTTTACTTTAGCATCTTTCATTGGTCAACTGGTAAAATGCACAATTTTGAGACAGGCCGTTTAATAATAGAACCCTTACATCTAAGGCTGACGACACGCGTAATTTGATCCGAACCAGGATGTTTTTCTGTGATGATACCGTAAAGCCATCTAGCTGGAGGAAGATCGTCTTCTTTAACTAAAACAATGTCGCCGATCTGTGGCTCTGGAATCTGCTTAGACCATTTGTGCCTTTGAAAAAATTGTGCCAAATACTCTTTCGACCATCTTCGCCAGAAATGTTGTACCATTTTCTGTGCGTATTGCCATCTTCTAAGGTTATTAAGATTTGACAATTCATAATTTGCGTCGGGAACGAGTACTAGTGGGCCACCAACTAGAAAATGACCTGGAGTTAGAGGGTATGGATCACTTGAATCGTCACTCACCTGTGTGATTGGCCTCGAATTGAGACAGGCTTCGACTTGAGTCAACACAGTTGTGATTTCTTCAAATGTGAGTGTTGAAGTTCCAATAACTCTGCGTAGGTGGTGTTTAGTGGATTTCACACCGGCTTCCCAAAGCCCTCCGAAATTTGGAGCGTGAGGTGGGATGAAATGCCACTCAGTCCCGTTTGTAGCCAACCAGTCTGCAATTTCTCTACGATACAATGATTTTTCATTATTTAGCAGCGATTTTAATTCACGAGCAGCCCCGACAAAGTTTGTGCCATTATCGCTCCATAAGTCTGAGCAATGACCACGCCTGGCGACAAATCTCTTAAAAGCGGCTAAAAACCCATCCGATGTCAGGTCGCTAACTGCTTCTAAATGTATGGCCCTAGTGGTCATACAAATGAACAGACATATGTAGCCTTTGGTAGAGCGATAGCCTCTACCTTTGGTGGTTCTAATCGCAATTGGACCCGCATAGTCTACGCCACTGTGTTGAAATGGTCGACTTGGGTTTACTCTAGCCGATGGGAGTTGGCCCATAAGTTGATTGGAGGCTCGTGATGAATATCGAGTACAAACTACACACTTGTGAATGCATGACTTTACCGCTCTTCTTGCATTAATTACCCAGTATTTAGAACGAAGATAGTTCATCATTAACTGAGGACCACCGTGAAGTGTCCGTGTATGAGCATCAGCCAATAAAAGTTCGGTCAAGTGTGACTTGTACGGGATTATGATTGGATTGACCGTTTCCGAAGCAAGTTGTGCCTTCTGCAGCCTACCGCCCACCCTGAGGACTGCATTTCTGTCAAGGTAAGGATTAAGACTACGTAACTTGCTTTTCTTGCTGATTGATGTACTTGACAAAAGATAATTTATTTCATCCTTGAAATATAATTTTTGATATTCCCGAATAATAATATTAATTATTTCATGTAACTCTGCACTTGTAATCCATTTCGGAAAATCTGGTGATGACTCACGTTTTACTTTAGCATGTGCGACTTTTATGAAACGCCGACAAAATGCAACCACTCTTATCATTCTGCGAAAAGATGAAAATCTAGAACAATATTCAACCTCTTTGATATTCGTAACTGTACATACTGTTTCTTTTTTAGGTCTTTCTTCTAAACTTGTATCTAGCTTGCAACTCAGTGGACTGTATTTGATATATTTTTCTTGCAACCATGAAGGGCCGTTTTTCCACAGTTGTATTTCAGAGGTTTTCGATGGCTGAATACCACGCGATGCGCAGTCTGCGGGATTATGGGTAGAGCGAACGTGTGACCATTGCTGCGTTGCAAATAACGTAAGTATTTCGGATACCCTATTGGCTATGAAGGTCTTCCATCTACTAGGGTGGCTACTGAGCCATGCTAGCACCACCTGAGAATCAGTCCAAGCATGGACATGATTACGCGAAACCTCTAGAACTTCAGACACTTCAGACAACAACTTTGCCAATAATACCGCCCCACACAGCTCTAAGCGTGGTATCGATACTTGCTTGATAGGTGAAACCTTCGTTTTTGAAGTAACCAGATTCACATGCACCTGATCATTGCAGTCTACAACCCGAATGTAGACGACAGCAGCGTATGCATCAGTCGATGCGTCGCAAAACCCGTGGAGTTCTACACAGTTATCTTCACGGCTAGTATGTATCCATCGAGGAAGAGTGAACTTTGTGAGTAAGGTAAGTTTATCCCTATATGTTATCCATTCTTGCAATAAATTATTAGGTAATTCTTGATCCCATCCTATGCCAGCCATCCATAATTTTTGGATAAAGATCTTTGCCTGAATTATAGATGGCGCAATCCACCCCAGCGGATCGAACAACCGTGAGATATTAGAAATGACTTTCCTTTTTGTAATGGGTGTGTCTAGTTCTGGCAACTGTACTGTATACTCGAACTCATCTGTAGTACTATTCCACGTCAAACCTAGAACTTTCTTCACTTCATTTTCTTCCTTTCCTGTTCCTATTTCTAACCTATTACTATTTTTATTTACTAAGCCTTGTGCTTCTTGTAAAAACTCTTTACTACTCGAACCCCATTTCTGTAATTTAAAACCACCTTTTTCCATCAATTCATTAATTTGTTTATATATTTTCAGTCCCTCTTCTTTCGTCTGGCAGCCCGTCATCAAATCGTCGATGTAATAGTCTTTTAACACTATTTCAGCAGCTTCCGGATACGCTTCACCCTCATCGTAAGCCAGTTGATGTAGAATCCTGACTGCAAGATAAGGAGCACTAGCTGTACCAAAGGTAAGTCGCTGTAGTCTGTAGTGCTGTATGTGATGTCCATCACACCACAATATTCGTTGAAAATCTGCATCTTCTTTTGTCACCTTGACTTGGCGATACATTTTAACTAAGTCTGCATTAAGAGCAATAGGATGACGTCGCCAGCGCATGATAATATGCCTCAGATCCAGCTGTAAAGTGGGACCTACCAACAAATCATTATTAAGGGATACGCCGTTGAGACCAGGAGAGGAAGCATTGAATACAACTCGAACTTGAGATGTAGTTCTATCTTTTCGCACAACAGCATGATGAGGTAAGTATACTGCTCCATGTAATGGTTTTTCTTTTTCAGGAACTACTTCCATGTGACCCAGCGTGAGATACTCGGTGATAACTTGTGAGTATTGTTCTTTTAGTTCAAGATTTTTTGCTAACCTTTTTTCCAGGTACTGGAGTTTCCTCGCTGCAACAACCTGTGAGTTGCCATACTTACATAAAGGATCAGAGGAGCGGAATGGAAGCTTAACTATATACCGACCAGAGTCATCTCTAGTAGTAGTTTCCGCAAAAATCCTTTCGCATTCTTGCTCTTCTCGAGTAAGAATCTTTTTACCAACCATTGGAGGCTCCGATTCCAATTCCCAAAACTTTTTAAGTAAATCATCGTTATCAGCGATAGAATACATGGCGATGACCTTGTCTTCGCTTGACGACTGGAGGCTGCCCACAGGTTTTGTAGAAACCTGGCCAGATAGGATCCATCCAAGCTTTGTATTTTGTGCTACAGGTGTGCCTGGAGGACCCTTGATTAAGCCTTCAACTAAAATCTGGCTGAATATATCAGCTCCCAGAAGCAAGTCAATTTTATTGGGAATGTGAAACTCAGGATCTGCTAATTGTACCCCTATTAATTGTGGATACATGTCAAAATTAACTCTCTTAGTTGGTAATATTGATGTTAATTTGTTCAATACATGAGCCCTGACGACTACAACATAATTGAGATCATGTATTGATTGAAGTTTGAAGCAAACTGATGACTTCGACACTACAGAGTCGCTGTTATCCCCAACACCCGAAATAACGGTTTTCGCTGGTAACTTTTGAAGACCAAGCGATTGCACAGCGGCCTCTGTAATAAACGAGGCTTGAGATCCTTGATCAATCAAGGATCTGAGAGTACAGTGATTTCCTGACTTTGACTGTACTTTAACTAAGGCAGTAGCCAAGAGTACTTGGCTGTGAGCATTTGAGTAACATGCTACTACCTGATCAACATCCTCGGTAACATCAGTGCTACCTGACGAGGAAGTAGTGGCTACGACTATGGCTCTCTTGTCAACGGATGAATCATCGACATTGTTTTCCGTTGATTTTGGAACATTGAGGTGCAATAATGAATGGTGTTTCTTCTTACATACGCGGCATCTAGAGGCTTGACGGCACACAAACACAGAGTGATTCGGACCCATACAATTGAAGCACAAGTTATTGGTCTGAATAAAATTACGACGTGCTTCAACACTTTCATTAGCAAACCTTTTGCAGTTGCCTATTTTGTGACTTTCTGAACAAAATACACAAGAAATTGCTGTGGCATGGTGAACTTTAGTATTCATAGCATTACTTGTATGACGAACGACATTTGGCTTTGGAGTTTTCGGTAAAAATTCTAAGGAACGAAATCTATTCTCTAAAAATTCTTTGAATTGATGCATTGATGGGAGATCATCAAATGAGCTTATTTGAGTTTCCCATAGTTTGCGAGACTCTGTATCTAGTTTTGAACTAATAATAAAAATTACAATTGCATCCCATGAATTAGTACCAAGACCTAAATTTTTTAACCCGTTTAAACAGTCAACAGTTGTATCTAATAAGGACTTGATAGCTCCTGAGGATTCTACTGTAATGCTAGATTGACCAATGAGACGCTTTAGTAAACAGTTGGAAAGAAACTTTTTATTACTGTACCTTTTATTCAGCAGTGACCAAGACTCTTCGTAATTTGCCTCAGTGACTGGTATTTGTCGTAATAACTGTACTGCTTCTCCAGTCAAATGAGCTTTTAAATAATGCAACTTATGAACATTTGGCAAACTACTATTATTGTGGACAAGTGATAAGAACAAATCTTTAAAAGTTGTCCACTCTATGTATTTACCGCTAAAAGTTGGAATTGTAATTTTCGGTAACTTTACATTAAAGTTAGACCCGGAGTTTGTTGAAAACTGAGGAAGTAACAAGTCGGATTCTAAACCAGTAACAGATGATTTTTTAATCTTAAGTAATGCGTCTTTCAACTCTGCCTTATAATCGTAATACAATTCTTCGGTTGTTTCGTACATGTTATTTTCACAATAGACAGATGCTTGAAACTCTGCGGTGTCTACATCAGAAAGAATTTGTAGGTGGTTGTCTTCAAAAGATTTCCATTGAACTTCTAAGTTCTCCAACCTCGCCTCAATATAACTTTGAGTAAGACGTGCTTTGGGTGACTTTTTAAAATTGTCTTTACCATTACTAATAACTGACTTTACATGTTCTTGTCTTTTATATAATTTCTCCATGTTCGTTTCTAAATAACTTCGACTAAAATTAAATCAATTAACGAACGAGCACACCACAATAATTATTGTATATGAAGAAAATAGAATATAATCTAACTCAATAACAAAATTACAACATGAAAATTTTCAAAGTGAATGACAACTTGACAATCACAAAAATAACCAAAATATTCTAAGTCCAAAGAGAATTTATTACAATTTTTCTAAGTGTTTTGCAATTTTGACACTTGGGGAAAATCGGGCATAGGTTCCCCGTCTAAACAGATTTCAGCCTAAAATTTTACAAGTCCAAACCACACTACTACTAAATTAATCCTAATAAACTTAAAGTCTTCTACTCTTGCAAGTTATTTCTCCTATGTAAATAAAGTTCAAATTCACTCACTCACTGATTGTTCCGCATGCCATACCATATGTGTTTCGTGTTCAACTTTCCAAAAATATTTCCAAAACTGCAGCGCCCTCTATTGTCAAGGTTTGTTTGTATTACAGCTTCAACTTCGACTCGAACCCTTTGGAATTACTCCACAGCAGCAGCAGTAAAACATAACACGGCAATAGACAATAAATTCCTCAACTCAACCTGAAAAACTTTTTTGTATGGCGCGCTGAACACGTTGCCTCTAGGTGAACCTTAATCCGGCATACCGTAGGACCAATGTTTAGTGTCCCAAAAAGGAGGTGGAACTAACTAAATAATTAAACACCTGTTCCAATTTTAAATAGCGAGAGAGCTTTTATTGCTTTTACATAACATACTTATATTTCAAACAAAACCAAATGGTAACGTGATTCAGTGAACCGATCCTGCCATCTATCGTACAAAAAGTAAAGTAATTCTAAACACCTATAATGCGAAGAGATGGCGCTGCCTTGCAGCTTAAGAATGGCTAGAGGAATTTCGACGCGGTCCGTGAGGGCCGCGGTAGCATAAAGGTCAGTGCATTCGCCCGGATTGCGAAGGGTGCGGTTTCGAGTCCCGTCCGCTGCCTGGTCTGTGTTATTTTTGAAGTTATACTTCTTTAGGCGCGTTATGAAAAAATGATGAGAGTGAAATTTTAAGATGCGCGCGCATCACTGTAACACAAAATTTTAACAGCATGAAGTTGGTTGCTTTAGCGACCAACTTCATGCGTTACTTTTGTGTTTACCGCACATTAAGAAAATCTACCAACAAAATAGAAATAGAATCTCTATTTAGTGGGTGCTAACGACTGCATTGTGAAGGCCTATCAAAAGTATTTATTAATCTGGAACAACGGAACCAAAGCGCGATTCAGGAGGCTACAGCGCCATCTCTTGACCATTGCCATTTTAAACGATGCCAAAGAAGGATAACTTCTCACGCGCCTACATAAGTACACGCACCCATTTTTTTTTTACAAAAAATGCGAATAGGCTCTCAATGTACCGCACAGGCCGGCGAGAACCACCATTTCCACCCGACTTGCGCGCGCTGCAGCAAGTGCGGCGACCCGTTCGGAGACGGCGAGGAGATGTTCCTGCAGGGCGCCGCCATCTGGCACCCGCGCTGCGGGCCCGCGCCCCACGCGCGCCTCGACCCCGGCGACCCCGACCCGCCCTGCTCCGAGCTGCAGGTATCGTACTATAGAGTTCTACCCAGAATGGATAGAACCTGGGGACGTGACTCTTCAGTAAAACAACTAGACGATGGTTATTATTTTATATTATCATTCAGGCGATTATAAAGAATTTTTATCTAAATACGAGAGGAAGTTCTTGGTGCCTGAAGATCTAATCTTGACTAGGACCTTCTATCAAAAGACAGACGATTCCTCATTTCAAATCTTAAAATCATGACATTATCTTTTTAATATAACTGCCAACCGTAGGCATTGCAAAAGCAAAGAGTTTACCTAAACAAGGAGGCTGTAACGTTTCGGACGTCACAGTACCACGGCCAGGAGATGTGAGATGAGCTGCAGGTATCATACTACGGCCAGGAGGTGTGAGATGAGCTGCAGGTATCATACTACGGCCGGGAGGTGTGAGATGAGCTGCAGGTATCATACGACGGCCGGGAGGTGTGAGATGAGCTGCAGGTATCATACGACGGCCAGGAGGTGTGAGATGAGCTGCAGGTATCATACGACGGCCGGGAGGTGTGAGATGAGCTGCAGGTATCATACGACGGCCAGGAGGTGTGAGATGAGCTGCAGGTATCATACGACGGCCAGGAGGTGTGAGATGAGCTGCAGGTATCGTACTACGGCCGGGAGATGTGAGATGAGCTGCAGGTATCGTACCACGGCCAGGAGATGTGAGATGAGCTGCAGGTATCATACGACGGCCAGGAGGTGTGAGATGAGCTGCAGGTATCATACGACGGCCGGGAGGTGTGAGATGAGCTGCAGGTATCATACGACGGCCGGGAGGTGTGAGATGAGCTGCAGGTATCATACGACGGCCGGGAGGTGTGAGATGAGCTGCAGGTATCATACGACGGCCGGGAGGTGTGAGATGAGCTGCAGGTATCGTACTACGGCCGGGAGATGTGAGATGAGCTGCAGGTATCGTACCACGGCCAGGAGATGTGAGATGAGCTGCAGGTATCATACGACGGCCGGGAGGTGTGAGATGAGCTGCAGGTATCGTACTACGGCCGGGAGATGTGAGATGAGCTGCAGGTATCATACGACGGCCGGGAGGTGTGAGATGAGCTGCAGGTATCATACGACGGCCGGGAGGTGTGAGATGAGCTGCAGGTATCGTACTACGGCCGGGAGATGTGAGATGAGCTGCAGGTATCGTACCACGGCCAGGAGATGTGAGATGAGCTGCAGGTATCATACGACGGCCGGGAGGTGTGAGATGAGTTGCAGGTATCATACGACGGCCGGGAGGTGTGAGATGAGCTGCAGGTATCATACGACGGCCGGGAGGTGTGAGATGAGCTGCAGGTATCATACGACGGCCGGGAGGTGTGAGATGAGCTGCAGGTATCATACGACGGCCGGGAGGTGTGAGATGAGCTGCAGGTATCATACGACGGCCGGGAGGTGTGAGATGAGCTGCAGGTATCGTACTACGGCCGGGAGATGTGAGATGAGCTGCAGGTATCGTACCACGGCCAGGAGATGTGAGATGAGCTGCAGGTATCATACGACGGCCGGGAGGTGTGAGATGAGCTGCAGGTATCATACGACGGCCGGGAGGTGTGAGATGAGCTGCAGGTATCATACGACGGCCGGGAGGTGTGAGATGAGCTGCAGGTATCATACGACGGCCGGGAGGTGTGAGATGAGCTGCAGGTATCGTACTACGGCCGGGAGATGTGAGATGAGCTGCAGGTATCGTACCACGGCCAGGAGATGTGAGATGAGCTGCAGGTATCATACGACGGCCGGGAGGTGTGAGATGAGCTGCAGGTATCATACGACGGCCGGGAGGTGTGAGATGAGCTGCAGGTATCGTACTACGGCCGGGAGATGTGAGATGAGCTGCAGGTATCGTACCACGGCCAGGAGATGTGAGATGAGCTGCAGGTATCATACGACGGCCGGGAGGTGTGAGATGAGCTGCAGGTATCGTACTACGGCCGGGAGATGTGAGATGAGCTGCAGGTATCGTACCACGGCCAGGAGATGTGAGATGAGCTGCAGGTATCATACGACGGCCAGGAGGTGTGAGATGAGCTGCAGGTATCATACGACGGCCGGGAGGTGTGAGATGAGCTGCAGGTATCATACGACGGCCGGGAGGTGTGAGATGAGCTGCAGGTATCGTACTACGGCCGGGAGATGTGAGATGAGCTGCAGGTATCGTACCACGGCCAGGAGATGTGAGATGAGCTGCAGGTATCATACGACGGCCGGGAGGTGTGAGATGAGCTGCAGGTATCATACGACGGCCGGGAGGTGTGAGATGAGCTGCAGGTATCGTACTACGGCCGGGAGATGTGAGATGAGCTGCAGGTATCGTACCACGGCCAGGAGATGTGAGATGAGCTGCAGGTATCATACGACGGCCGGGAGGTGTGAGATGAGTTGCAGGTATCATACGACGGCCGGGAGGTGTGAGATGAGCTGCAGGTATCATACGACGGCCAGGGGGCCAATCGCCTAACGGAAATGCTTTGGGAAACGCTAACCAAACCTTTAATAAGTTCAAGTCAAAACTTCGTAAGTGGTCAAATGAAAACACGTTTTACAGTATGGTTGAGTTCATGAATTATGGTAGGATTTGATGCATGGGTTAAAGACATGCTTAATGGGTTTAAATATAACATTTAATTCTGATTCTTTACAAGACCATTCTAATTATGACATTCAGATAATTATGGACATGATAAATTGACGACATCGAATAATTAAAATATTATAATAAGAATTATTGACATTTATATAGGTAATTAATATAGGTAATTTAATAGAAAAATTTGCATGTTATCTTTATATGACTAAATAGGTTAAGAGACAACTTAGATGAAATGTAACACCATTATTTGTACCCTATTTAATGCAAATAAATTGAATTGAATTGAATAACGCTTACGATTTTATATTGTTATTTCTAGCCGCCTGAGGTTTTCGAATACCCCACGCTCATTTTTTTTAATATTGTTATTACCAATGCAAAAGAAAAAGAAAGAGCGCGAGGCATTTGAATACCTCAGGCGGCTAGAAATAACAAAATAAAATCGTAAGCGTTAGCGTTTTCCAAAGCATTTCCGTTAGGCGATTGGCCCCCAGGAGATGTTCCTGGTATTACGATGCTGCGTGGCCAGTTGGAAATTGGGTGCCACGAACACGCCCGCACTCCCGGCGCGGATTGGGGACCTCGGTCCCCAGAATGAACGGTGCAGGAGTATTGTCTGGTTTTTAGTGGCCCTGTTCAGGGCTATAGGTAGGGCCCTGCTCATTTTATCCGGCCCAAAGGCTGGCTGTGATGAGCAGGGAGGAGTCCCACATACCTTCTCCTCGCTCCCCCAGTGGTTGAAGGATGCGTAAGGCATTTCCCAGACACTATTACGATGTTGTGTTAAGGTTTGGACACGAGGCCTACTCTAATAGGGGTGATGACGGGGTACAGTAAACGAAATTGTATTTAGTCCGTCAGTTAGATGTTAAAAAAATAATGGACACGTATTTTTTCTTTGGGCAATCAACCAAAAAATGACAAAGTTATAGCGCGTCAAAGTTTGGGAGTGACGTCACTTTTGAGTGAATATTCGCTTAAAAGTGTACTCAAACGTGACGTCATGCGACTTTTCAAGTCAATATATCTCTGCAATGTTTATATTATGTGAAAAAGGAAAAATACGTGTCCAATACTTTTTGATAATCTACCTGATAAACGAAGAAAAAAAAATAGTCATCATCCATATTCAACGAAAAATGAAACGCTAGTAAAGGAATACTAGTTAGAGATGAATGAAGAAACGGGATGAGACATCATTAGACGAATACGGAACAACCTGCTCTAGCATAATGGCCGCCATAGACGTTTAAGTAATTTGATCAAATAGGCTGGAAGCCTACTCTATTTCAACGAAAAAAGAAATTACGATCGAAATTTCGCACGTTCCCTACTCTGTTTCCTTTTCATTTCGAAAATTCGTTCGTCCGAAATATTTTGACAATTAAATTCTCCAAGCCTACTCTAATTCACAAAACTTTCGAAGGAAAAGTTGAATTTGACAATTGTTCGAAATTTTAACCTCAAATCGACGAAATGAAAAGTGTTATCTTTTCATTTTCCTTTTGAGATTTTTGTTTTAATTAAGCCTAAAATACTTGCAAGAGTATTTTTAATAATAGCTGCTTAGCTCGAGAAACATTTTTAGCATGTAAAATTAACAAATAAACCATTTTTTTATTATTTTTTGTAATTTCGATACTTCAAAGTATTAAACGACAAATTGAGGTTGACATACAGTAGATTGTATCGACTCTATATCTATGACGGCTAACACTGTCAAAGCAGGTTCTTTTAATATCATCAAAAAATTTGCCGTAAACTACCTATATTGTTTCCAAGTAAAAAAACGTTTTCTTAAAAGTAGAGATAAAAAGAACTCAAAAACATGACTCATTCCATTCGTTTACGAAAACTGTTTATGGCTCCGAAATTAATGTGCCTGTTCGAAAATGAAATAGAGTAGAAACACTGGCGAAATTTCGTTTGAAATTCGTTCGTTACCGAAATTTCGTTTCGGAGAAAGAGAGTAGAGCTCCTGTTTCAAACAATCTGATCAAATGGAAATTCGAAAATTTAAATAATTTGACGACTTATTTTGATCAATCTTCCCCACACATATTGACGCCAATATAGTTTAAACTAACTTGTTTGATCGAATTTCTTGAACGTCATAGACGTTCATAAGCATACAATTTGCACCATTTGTTAAACCGAAATAAGAATAAATTATATACAATGTAAATCACTTAACAACTAAACTTCATCTCTACAATAGGCTAGTTGACACTTTGTGGAAATATGTTTCAAATGCTTAATAATTTTTCTATTAGACCGAAAAAAATGTATTGTATTTTTTTGACCTAGAAAGCTACAAAACTTTAATTTTAAAATAGATTTTCCATGGACGTACAGAAACACTGGCGGCCATTTAGTCTATAGATTTATCAATGCTATGACGTCAGAAAACAACGTCTGCTTTCACAAATCCGGCGTCCAGCATTAATGAGGGCTACCGTTTTCTGCCTCGCCAGATGGCGCCACTGTTGAGTGAGGTCCTAAATTGTAACTTTTAAAGTTTATTAATACGCACATGAAATCAAAGGTTACATTTAGATCGTATTTTAACACAAAAGAACCATATCCTAAACACAATAGGCCATGTCACAGTGACGCGCAGTTCCGTTTTATTCGGAAAAAATGGGAACATAATCATTTTTCTAAGCTCAAATTTTTAATAACTGACATTCATTGCCACATAACTCATATTTGCCATAATTAAGCCGAATTGTTACCAATTATTCACAACATTATTTTAATTAGAAATAAACCCGCGTAGTCAAAACCAACAAGCAATAACCTTTGACATTTCGGAGACCTCACGCTACACTAGCGCCTCTAGCGGCGGATTCATATGCGATAGCCCTCATTTAGTCAACAAAACTAATAAACGGAAACTTTCCTACAAGATATAAGAGTTTTTAGATATTTTTTAAAAACTCTTATTCGAAAAAAAACACAGTAACAATGACGTTTAGTTGTTTACAGATTTTGTGACGTCACAATCATGATGAACAGCTTTTTAAGTGTTTAAAAAGCATAGGCTAATAAACTATTTTTCCAATTAAATTACTACAGCCATCGTTTAAAATTATGAAGTGAAATCGATGTATTTAGGTTCCGCATACCAAAAATTATAAGAAATAAACATTTGTATAGCACATTTTGACATGAGTCAACTAGCCTTTTGACATGAAGCAAGCGAGGTGAAGTAATTTCCTCTAGAACAGCGAAGTCTTAAATAGTCCAAGAGTGAATTGTCTGTTTGCGTAAGACACAGGCGCACAATATAAAACTATGAGCTACAGTCACGAAACACATTCCTGTTAATAATGCACCAGTGTCGTGTACACGTGTAGTTAGAATGTTGTAGATATTTGTTGCACAGTTTGGTACGCCGAGCGCTGCTCATTACTGGCTCTATACAAAATAGTCAATAAAATATTTTGAACTACTAAGCAATAGGGTATTTGACAAGAATTAGGAAGCAATCTCACGTTATTTACTTAAATAGAGTAGATATTTTTAATAGGGTATTTGACAGTATTAAAAATAAAGTGCCAATTGTTAGCATCTGTGTTTAGAATGAATATTGGCAGGGGTTTTTACTGTTACTACAAATAAAATATTCATAATTTTACTAAATACCCACAAAAAAGATAATAGTTTTCTTATTTATTGTCACGTGACCCAAAACGCTTGGGATTGGCGGAGCCTAAAATGACGTCACACACAAGTAAACTTCCGGTTAAAGTGACATAACAATTGTAACGTTTGACGTTTTAATAACAGTCGTTTGGCGTCACACACTAGTAAGACGCCATATTGTCCAGAAAAACGTTTTCGCGGCAACTTGAAAATGGAGTTTTTGATTTGGTTATTTTTACTGATATACACAACAGAATGATGAGTATCCTCCATAAACATTAGTCAATAACGTGAGATCGTTTTCTAAAACTTGTCAAGTACCCTATTCTGTTGTGTAATTCAGTTAAAAAACTAAATTAAAATTTCAATTACCAAGTTGCCGCGACAACGTTTCTCTGGAAATTATGGAGTCACACTAGTGTGTGTCGTCAAACAACTGCCATTGACGTTTTGTCAAACAATACAATGTAATGTCACTTTGGCCGGAGGTTTAGTAGCGTGTGACGTCATTGAAGTGGCCAAACCCATTCGTTTTCGGTCACGTGACCATTGAGCAAAACAATCATTTCTATTGAATGATTTTATAGAAGACTAGCTGACCCAGCGAACTTCGTACCGCCATAAAAAAAAATTAACTAAAAAAACATTGTCCAGCGGACAAAATTGTGAATCTAAACCATTCTCAGATCCCCTTGAACACACACAAAATATTTCATCAAAATCGGTCCAGTCGTTTAAGAGAAGTTCAGTGACATACACACTCACAGAAGAATTATATATATAAAGATTTATCAATTATTTGTTCTTTCAGAATAGTAAAGTCGCTGATATTCATATTAATTACAGATGGCAACAATTGGTACATTATTTTTCATACTGTCAAATATCCTATTATAATCGTAAAATCAAACCATAATGTGCAAAATATTATTACCCAAAGCCTTATATGCATATCTTTAAGGTCAGTTATGCGTACATGCAGTTGGTCTTGAAGCAGACTCAGTAGTGAGTGAGCGCTATATTATTATTTTTTATTCCAACTGTTAATTTGTTTTTATTTCAGATTTTTTTTATTTTAATGTCTTTTTATTTTCAAACGAATACGTGTTCGCAGACAGTGAAGGCGTATTTGTTTTTTCATTTATTTATTTTGTGTTAATTGCTTGAACAAAAAAATATTTCTTTTATTCCTTGTTTCTCACGATTTTATTCTTTTGAATGTTTTATAAAACTTTTTGTTGTATTTGCATTTTTTTTGTTCATTCGCGAAGCCCACCTATATTGCATGTGACTGCCACCAACTATACTAGATCCGTGTAGTGTACTATTAACTATTTGTTTGTTTTTTATTTTTTTAATTTTGAGTTTATTTGTCGTACGTCACCAGTGGACAAGATGTCGTCATATGCAAGTAGGAGTGGCTCCGGCGATCGCCACAACGTAATTCGAACCTTTATTTTATTGGAAAAGTTACAGCATCGTCTTATCGAGGGCCATGTCCTAACCTGTCCCATCCCTCTTTAAGTTTCCTAGTTCAGTGAACTTTGCTTCAAACTATTTCGCAGATATTTCGTTAACAAATAAAAAGACAATTAGATAGATTATTGACTTGAAAATGAACCTTGAAAAATCTTAAGAGCGACAGGCAAATTTTTTTTTTTTTTTTTTTTTATTAATATTTCCGACACTCACACCAATTAGCCTAGCCCCAAAGTAAGCACTATAAGGCTTGTGTTATGGGATGCTGGGGTAACGGATAGAATACATATACTGTACATATATAAGTATATTTATATAAATACATATTAAACATCCATGACTGGAGTACAAATGCACGTATTCATCACACAAACATCTGCCCCCACCGGGATTCGAACCCGGGACCTCTCGAGTCGGCGACAGCCATGAAACCCGGCGTACAAACCACTCGGCCACGGAGGTCGTCATAAATTGAAGCGATTAGATATATTTACAGTGAAACCTGGTCAATTGGGATCTCAAGGGACCAAGACATATGTACCAATTATTGAGGGTATCAAATAAAACAGTTTTCCAATTAAGCAGGTTTAAAAATATAGTTGTCTCATTTACAGAGGCCGAAATGTGCCGTTATTCCCTTGTTTATAGGTCAAAACCTGACATAGTACTGACAAACAAAGCATGCGCGAAAGACGACGCGAAATGTATGTAAACAAACATGTCAAAACGTGTTACAACCTGATTAATTAGTCTCACTTATACAGGTAATTGAGTCGAAAGAGAATCGAAAGAGTCTTACAATTCAAATCTCATTTAACCAGGTTCAAAAACTCCCATTAACAGAGGTGATTTAATGAAAAAGAACCGGGACCTCATTGCAACTCTCAATAATAGAGGTTTCTCACTTATCCAGGTCCCACTTAACCTGCCCCTCTAGCATGACCACCGAAACGGGATATGATAAAGCGATATATCGACATTAACTGTCAGACTACTGTCAAACTCCACAGTAGTCTGACAGTTAATGTCGATATATCGCTTTATCATATCCCGTTTCGGTGGTCATGCTAGAGGGGCAGGTTTCACTGTTTTTCATAATCCAATGAAGTCCTCGTCACTAGCTACCTGTGCATCTCCCCCTCCAAAGCCCCCCCCCCCCCCCCCCCCCCCGTCAGGTTAGGGCGTGGCCTCGCGTGCTGACGCGCGTGTGTGTGTGTGTGACAGTTCTCGCTGCGCTCGCGCACGCCCAGCGTCAACGGCTCCTACTGCAGCCCCTACAGTAGCCTCAACAGGAAGGTCCGTCTCTCTCTCCTCTCTCTCTCTGTCTCTCTCTCTCTCTCTCACACACCGTCACCTCCATCGTGCCCGTGAACAAGGCCCGGCAAATCAAACCAATACACCTGTTAGTATCTGCTTGATAAAAAAATAACAATTATGCAATATAGGCAATGCAGGCCTAGGATAGCACACGCCTGCCTAGAAGATGCCTGTTCACTCTGGCCTCGAAGATGTTCAGAAAATGCAAAAGAACGCGTATCCATTTTTGTATGGGTTTTAATTGTAGTAAATTTCATTTTGAATAGCGTATATTTATTTGATCTACGAGTATCGTTGTGTTGAAAAAAATAATATCACTAAGTACTAAGTGCAGTCATGAGAAAATACCTGTATATGCCGGTGTTTTTGAACGAAAACCGAGAGAATTTCGATGGAAATATATAAGTATCAATGAAGTAAAGTTCCGGTGTATGTTCTATAATTATACAGTATTAGAGAAGGTTACTTACTATTTTGGTAAGTGCCGAGAAACATCAGAGTTTACGTTTTTTGTTTATTATTATTTTTGCTTTGATGAGAATTTATAAGAATAGAAAAGAAATATTGTTCATGGTGTATGTATACCTACTTTTTTATTTTTTTTTATAATTATTTTCGATTTTATTTTGGGTCTTTTTCATTGGCACTTTCTTTTGTTTCAGTTGACACATTTACAAGTTTATTTAATTTGCTAGTTTTTATTTTATTTTATTTTATTCAATTCTTTTATGTCGTTCCGTATATAGACTGAGAGCACTGAGCATGTGGATGTGTTGACTAACCGATACACACAATAGTCATTATCACACTTCAACATTACGATTGTATTACAGCGGAGCTACGGTACCGGCACTTTACTTGGATATTCGTATTTGCTATTTGTAGACTTGACTACAATCTGTCCTTGTATGCTTTCCAATTACAGAGCATAATGCGACTCAGTGCCGCACAATGCCCAATTATGCTGATGCTTAATTGGAACGTGAATTAGTTTTCAAATGCACCAGCAGAGTGCGCTAAGTTCAGTGTTGAAAAAAAAAGTCAATGTTTGTACCTTCATCCATACTTATATTTATTTTTTAACAGTTTGAATGAACTTTGATTATTTAAAAAAAACTATTTAATGAAACGAAAGCTTTAATAATTTTTCAACAATAAATAATATTACTAACGATAACATATAAATAAAATATTTCGATCAATGCCAACTTAAAGAAAAAACACTTGTTAATTTTCTGTCTCTAAGTTGGTACGATTGCACGCATCACACGAAAGCATCACTTTTGAGAGTGCTCAATTGTGCGAAGCGTTGCTGTAGTTGGAACACTCAACGTTAAGCATTATGCCGCATAATGCTGTAATTGGAAAGCAACCCTTTTCATTCCATATTAAGGTGTAGAAAATCTCTTTGGTGCAATAGAACACTCTTGATCGTTTTTTAAACTTATTTTACATGTCAATAAAAACATCTGTCACTCTCTATATTATATAATAAACTAGCTGACTCTGCGAACTTCGTACCGCCCAAAAGTAATAATTTGCAATAAATTAAAATTGCGACTATAATTTGAGATTTAAACTATCCTATCTCTCAAGTTGGATCGAACTGCACATGGTGTGCGAATTTTATTATAATCGGTTCAGTGGTTTAGGAGTCCATTGAGGACAAACATTGTGACACGAGATTTATATATATTAAGATATGTCTGTCTCTCCACTGTACTTTTTCTGCTTAAAATAATTTATTTTAGAAGGTTATGGCCTTTTAAACGCAGTTTTCTTTAATTCAGAGTTTTGTTCCTCGTTAAATATCTATTAAAAAATGGCTGAATGCGGAGATTCGTCAACGCGGGCTCGAGTCCTTTTCATTTCATATAAAGCATGATTAGGACAGGCTGTTGTCAAGTTTACAAACAGCCAAGCGAAGTGCCGGCGTTACATAAAACATAACTTGCAATAACAAAAAATATATATGTTCAGGAATTCTCTATTCGCCACAGTAATTTGGTTTGATTTAAAAGTTGTGTTGTATGTTGGTCATTTGTTAATTGGCTTAAGACAAAGTTCGCTATATATGTTTGATGTCATAAGTTTGAAGTTGTAGCTGAGGTTTTATCTGTAAACATCCTCATGGGGAGAAGCTAATTTCAGATAATTGATGATTTCACTTAATTACTGCCTCTGTTTAGCTTAATGGCATTATTTTAAGTAGATTGTATACTTTGATTATTGACTCTCTAGACAGAGTGTGACAGAGTAGATGCGTTAAAAAAAATATTAATATTTCCCGACACTTGGTGTTCAGTACCAGAGACTAAAGAGCAGTAACAGCCCTTTTGTGATTTTTCGTTTTATTAGTGATTCTGAAAGCGGGTTTCTTAAGCTTTCTATTGAATTAACTTACTTATTTCTAAGACTATTAGAATGGTTTTTATTTAACAGTTTTCACTTACTGCAAACGAAAAAAATTAACAATTTGGCGTGATTTCCCAACTAAAATACAGTATAAATTATACTGCAGATTAAATTTTAAGGTTTCATAACTAAAATGCAGTAAGCAATATAATTTTACAGTTCTTTAGATAGTTTTATATTTCTGGAAAAAAATTAAAAAAAAAATTAATACGCAGTAAAATTTACCGCCATACAAGCTATTTTTACTGCAAATTAAGAAAATACAATTTATTGTCACGAACTCCCAACTAAAATGCAGTAAAATCAAAGCTTGTCGCATTTTAGTTGTGAATACTTAACATTCTTTTATCATTATAAACTGACTAACACGCAGTAAAATACAGCATTACTGCAGATTAGTTTGGATAGCATAATGACACAGATATGATTATTCCTAGCTAAAGTGCAGTTAATGTTTTAAATACTGCATTTTAATTGGGATTTTTTCTTAAAAAACTAACTAAAATGCAGTATTTTTTTGACCTTACTGCATGTTAGTTGGGTTTCTTGACAAAATAACTGATCCAAACGCAGTAATAGGGCTTTTTGCTGCATTTTACTAAGTTTAAAATGGTATTTTTTACAAAAAAGGCTATGCAGTAATAGGCACCAAAAAGAATAAATGGCCATAATAAATTCAGTTATTAAGATATATTTTTTTTTATTGCTTTAACGTGTGAACCTATGCCTTTACAACCTTTCTGCATTCAAATTTTTTTGCTTATACATTCTGTTGATTTTTTAAAATCAATTCTTAACTTTAAATGCGTTTTACTCGAAATCGTGATTTTGCTGTTACTGCACTTTAGTGTATGGTGGGCAGAACGATGAGCGATACGCACGTCAATTAAAGAATGACATTTCGCGAGTGTAAGATACAAGATTCGCCTGTTTTGTTTTGCGTGTCGTGTAAGTATATAAAACCTGGCCCTGTTTTTATCAGTGTTTACAAGGTGACAATCTATCTAGAGAGTAAATCATTGAATATTTAATATGGTTTTAAACTTTCATGATCACTTACCCCTATAATCATTTTTGTTACAAGCGAGATTGCTACCATGTACCTTGTTTTTTGCGCCATGATCACGAAGTTACTCCGTGATCATGGCGCTTGTAACAGTGCCGAAATATCGCGTTGATGACATAAATGATTATATATTGTATATTGGTTTGTGTCCAAATGTAAGAAAAAAACTATATTAGAGTCTGTGCGGTAAGAGAATGGGCGTGGCGAAAAACGGAACTAACATTAAGATTTTTATTTGGCAATCAAACCCAGCAATCTGTAAAACGTCAAAGTTTTGTATTGATACGGATTTGTTTGTTGTTGTGATTTCTTGCTGTTTTGTATTTAATCATGTCTAAAAGGGCCCTCCAATCTAAATTCCATTCTCTTTCCGCACAGACTCTATGATGAAACTCGCTGTCCGTCCGTCCGTGTAACAATAAGCGGGTCGTATCTCACGAATGAGTCATTATAATGCGATTCAACTAAGAATAGGACCGACTGGGCGCCATATTTTGACGTCATAGCTGTCAATACAAACCAAATAGGTAGGTAGAGTGAGCAAAAAAAGTTTATATTTAATAAAACTTATTTACTAAGATTAGGTGAGAAAAAACATTAGATTATTTAATAAAATTAATTTACTAAGATTGAGAGAAAAAACAAACGATTTTTAATAATATTTATTTTTTAAGACTGTGTGAGAAAAACATTAATCAGAATCAAGCTCTTCAAATCCGCTCATCTCTGCATTACCGCCGGAGTAGTTATGAATAATCATGCACTATTATTAGGTCACATACGAACATGCATCCTTTATGAAAACGAAAGTTAGAAATCGAGTTTCTGAACGCAACATTAAGTGAATTAAAAGTGCCATTCGGTTGACGATTTAGGCTATCAACCATTCATAGCCAAAGCTCAATAAATGAAAAAAAATACCAACCAATATTAATTATCAATATTTGTTATTGTGTTTGTTTAAAAATATTTGATTTTTATTCTAGAATTAGCGGAGTGCTAAAAAAGTGTTCCGAGTTTTTTTTTGCAAACTGTACTTTTCAAGCGACATTTGACAGATGGAGGTCATTGGCTTTCCTATTCTTATTTGAATTGCATTATATATTGGTTTGTGTCCGAATGTAAGAAAAAAACTCTATCAGAGTCTGTGCGGAAAGAGAATGGGCGTGGCGAAAAACGGAACTAACATTAAGATTTTCATTTGGCAATCAAACCCAGCAATCTGTAAAACGTCAAAGTTTTGTATGTATCAATACAATCATTTATCAATCAATAGAAAAGCACTACAGCTACCTCCATTCTAAATTCCATTCTCTTTCCGCACAGAATCTATGATGAAACTCGCTGTCCGTCCGTCCGTGTAACAATAAGCGGGTCGTATCCTTAGATTAAAACAAAAAGGGTAGATACGGTACGCTCATACTTTTGCATTAAAACAAAAACTGATCCCACGGCAGCGCAAACGGGACGGCGAGATCCGCGTCACTGCATTACCGACCCGAGCGAAACAGCACGTTAAGTTTCAACGGCAGCGCGAACGAGACGGCGAGATCCGCGTCACTGCACTACCGACCAATCAGGCGACCAGTACTCGAATAAGATTTTTATGCATGACAGACAAACAGCAATTTTTATGAAAAAATATATTTTATAGTACTTACGAATGAAAAGTGATGCCGTGGGTTTTATTTTTAGTTCTTGAGCAATTTGAATACTTTTTAAAAACACAATTAGGCATTGTTTTATGATATAAACACAAAATATTAGCAATATTTTTTTTTTTGAGGTTCACATGTACGTCGTTTGCATGTCAAGTTGTGATTGTGACTAAAGCGATTAGGGTCGTGGGCCACAATTCATGCGGATCACTTTTGTGAGGCTAGTGCCGTATCTACCCTTTTTGTTTTAATCTAAGCTCGTACCTCACGAATGAGTCATTACGGGCGGATAGTTGTTTGCGTTTAACGTTGTGACGTGTCGTGATGTGATTGGCCAGTACGGGTCTGGCATCGAGAGCGGGGGCTGGTCGCCGCACCCGCACCGCATCACCGCGTACAGTTACCTGGCGGCGGAGCCGGCGCCGCTGCGTCGCCCGCTTCAACCCGCGCCGCCAGCTTCGCCGCACTTTCATCGCCCGCCCTGTGAGTACCTAGTCAGGTTTCGGTAATGGAGCTTATTAAAAAAATATGGGTGCGTGTAACTTATGTACGCGCGTGAGAAGTTATACTTCTTTTTGGAATTATTAAAAAATAGTTTTTAATTGCATGCAAATAATTAATAATTACAATAATATAATAAAAGGACTGGAAAAGGATAGTTAACACAGTCAATTAAGTTCAGTTTTAATTTGAAAAATTAAATAAATATTCAAAATATTCAATTAAAATCACTACTGAATTTAAGTTATTAGTCCATATGTAATTAGCACTTGTAAGTAACTAAAACACGTTGTGTCTATATAGAAACTAGAAACATGTGGATAAATATTATAAATATGAAAACAGTGATCAGAGGCAACGAGCGTGCCAACATTGTTTTTGACAACGCGATCATCTTATGGAGCTCCGTGGATCGTTCAAAGTACCTTTCGAACAGACACTAACATTCATAACGCGCGCACTCACATGATTTTTTCATAACGCGCCCGCGGCCAACTTCATGCTGTTACTTTTGGGTTACAGTGATGCGCGCGCATCTAAAAATTTCACTCCCATCATTTTTTCATAACGCGCCTAAAGAAGTATAACTTCAAAAATATAAATTTGTTGTAAAGTTTACTTGCAAAACATTAAACTTATTTAAATTAAACTAAATAGTCTACGATAGACCAAGTGAACCTTCGCTCGATGCGGGAGGCGAATGACTTGTAGGATCATTGTGCCTTTGCTATTTAAGGGTCATGATTATGTGACGTCACTCTCGAAAAGGGCTTCGTTCCTGGGAATCTTTATGTTATTTGAAGTGGTCTGCTGTTATCTCGAAATTCTTAGAGATGCTTAGAATATCAATTAACACCAATCGATAGTGAGGATTGTTATTTTTACAAGCTTTTATTTAACTTGCTATGTATGTTTGTTACGGTCAAATCTTACAACTCAATTTTAAAGCACTTGCCCTCAACCGGTTAAGCTGAAATTTGGTATGCTCGTTCAGTTCGGATGACAATGCATGATTAACAGTGTGACGTCATTCTAAATCCAATATGGCGGCATACCCAAAATGGCGGACCAATCATTTTTAATGCATTCCTACAATATGGGTATCAAATTAAAGGGCTTGCTGAGAGTAACTCGAAAAAAATTTAACGTCACTCTCAATCCAATATGGCGGACTTTTAAACGCGTTCAGTTTGTTTGACAATGCATAGTTAATTGTGTGACGTCATTCTAAATCCAAGATGGCGGAACACCCAAAATGGCGGATATTTTTTTTCTTTTTAGCGCATTTGAATAAAAGCTTGTTTTTAAAAAGGTTTTTTTAAACTTAATTTAATTAATTATCGAATTTTAAAATGTATTGCCTTAAGGGCACTTGTGTTTATTGAGGTCCCTCTTAATAGTGACGAAATAATTATTGACACCAATCGAAAGTGACGAGTGTTATTTTCAAGTATCGTAAAACGGATTGCCTTAAGGGCACTGTGTTAATTGAGTTCCTCATAATAGTGACGACATAATATTATTGACATTCTATGAATTATGGTAATGGTGTGGATTGATCACCCATAACAACCTACTATGGGGCCGTCCATAAATTTCGTCATCGATTTTTTCAGATTTTAGACCCCCCCCCCCCTACAATCATCCTATCGTCATTTCTTAATGACCCCCCCCCCCTTCTCCCAAAATTGACGTCATTACGAGTTTGACAAAATTAAAACATTGCTGATTTGAGAAAAGCTAGTATTATATGTAATATTATTGTTAGAATATTTTATCTGTAGTTATTACTGTATTTGTGTACATCTATGTTGCATTATGTATGTTTATTATGAATTATTTTAGTATTGTACGTGGCTTAGCCGCCTCTCACATTTGCAGTCTCACTTACTAGGTGTGCCGGAAGAAATTTCTTTTTAGAAATAATCTTTTTGTACGTGAACAATAAATAAATAAATAAGAATGACGTCAATTTCGAACCCCCCCCCCCCCCCTATCCATCATTTACCGCCATCCGCAGACCAACCTCCCCCCCCCCCCCTAATTTAGAATGACGTAATATATGGACGGCCCCTATCGCACGCCTCAACAAATACATAACAATCACTTGTTAGGGGCTGTTCAAGTATTACGTAAGCACTATGGGGGGACGCCCCTGGGTCTTTGCTTTGCTTATTTTTTGATGATATGGGGGGGGGGGGGGGTCGAGATGGTGATTACGTCAGCATCATGGACTAAGTCTATTTAAGTACGGCTGCTCATGAAGCCCATGAAAACTTATGAATCAATAAAAAAAACAGAATACATTAAAGGAAAAATGCATATAGGTACCAATGTTTACGTAAGGATGGGGGGGCAGGGGCTTTGCTTATTTTTGCTGACGAGGGGGAGGAGGGGGTAAATAATTGTAATAAATCTGCTTACGTAATACAATTTTATTTATTTATTTATCTTTAACAAAGTTTTTGTGAAATTTAATACAATTAAATATAGATACATTCTCAAGGCCAATTACAGAAACTCATTATGTACACATTAGATACTAACGGCGTTATTATATGTCAGTAATATTTGTTTCTTAGGTTTTCACGCACATCACTCATTAAATAAAACTAGTTTTTACGGGTTAATGCACGAATTATTATTTATTTTATCTCCTGTATAATAGGTTCCCAAGCTGGTGGTATATACCAACCACCTTCCCTATTGAAATTTGGATATATTTTAATCTCAATAGCCTCGCGCATCATTCGAGGAACGAACCGCCGCTCAGCTGCAAGGATCTGTGGTCTATCAAATCTAATGTAGTGGTAATCTAAAAACATTCTGTATTGGCATGCAGTAGAAAAGATAAAGAGTGACAAGTGTCTAGTGACACAGTAGGGGTGATGACTGGTTACAGTAAACGAAATTCTATTGAGTCCGTCAGTTAGATGATTATTTAGAGAGTCGTCAAGTTGAAAAATGACTTCAGAAATGAATAATGAGGTCACCTTTCGTTACATAATGTGAAATTATACATTAATTGTTCACCTGCACTTTGATTGCTGTGTCGTACAGTATAAATACAAATGGTGTTATTTATATTAGGTGTAAAACCACATGAGTTGTTTAAACTGTTTATAATGTATGTGTATGTGTGTAATAGCTTCTACATCGACCCGCGCGTCGTCCCGGCCCGGCAGCAAGGCGTCCTCGCGGCCCGGCATGCGCGCCCTCGTCGACTCCATGCTGGGCGACACTCCGCGACCCAAGTCCCCGCACATGAACAACGAGGTGCCGCACACACACACATACACACACACACACACACACGCACACACACACTTACACTCACAGACACACACACACACACTTACACTCACACACACACACTTACACTCTCACACACACACACACACACACACTTACACTCATACACACACATACTTACACTCACACACACACACTTACACTCATACACACACACTTACACTCACACACACACACACACACACACTTACACTCACACACCTACACTCACACACACACACACTTACACACACACACACACACACACACACACACACACACTTACACTCACACACACACACACACTTACACTCTCTCACACACACACACTTACATTCATACACACACACACTTACACTCACTCACACACACACACACACACACACACACACACACACACACTGACACTCATACACACACACACTCACACACACACACACACACACACACTTACACTCTCACACACACACACACACATACACACTCACTCACGCACACCCACGCGCACACACACACACACACACACCTGGGTAGCCAGCATAAAGATATTGTACATTAAAATTGACTCTGAGTCTGGCATGATTCTGTTAACTTGAAAAAAAACCCGGCCAAGTGCGTGTCGTGCTACGAACACTGTAGGGTTCCGTAGTTGCCTGTATATACCACAACACAATATATTTGAGCAGGAGTCTTTGTTTTGTATATCGAAAATTAGAAAAACCAATTAATATCTATCTCAATGCTAAAATACCTAAAAATACTTTTTTTGTTTCCTCCCAGGCGGGGTAGCGGGTGTGAAATCCTCATGGATACCCTACAGCTGGCTCCAAACAGTACTCTAGTGATAATGGTCTCAAAGCAAAACCGGAACTCTAAAAATTTATTCTGCATAATCTATCTTTATATATATATAATTCTTCTGTGAGTGTGTATGTCACTGAACTTCTCTTAAACGACTGGACCGATTTTGATGAAATTTTTTGTGTGTGTTCAAGGGGATCTGAGAATGGTTTAGATTCACAATTTTGTCCGCTGGACAACCCCTATTTTTTTAGGGCGGTACGAAGTTCGCTGGGTCAGCTAGTATATATATAAAAATGAAACCCGTTTTCCGTTGTCACGACATAACATGAAAACGACTTGACCGATTTCGCTGATTTTTTTTTGTAGTTTTCTAATACTCTGTACAAGGTTCTTACGGAAAAAATATAAAAAAAAAAATATTGAAGAGGTACTCATACATAAGATAGGTCAGCTATACAAAATAAAGTAGTGCATCAAAGCTACGCTAAGGCGGTACGAAGTTCGCCGGGTCAGCTAGTACTAAATATAATGTCAACCATAAAATTTATTGTAACTATATATTCATATTCTAAATGATGTAATGAAAGTACTTATGTATGAGTACCTATTCAATTTGAACCGTCATTTTGTCAGCGCGGTTATCGATGTGGTGTCACAGATTACCACAGATTTTTTGTTTTTAATTGAATGACGTTGACATTCGTTACGTTATATTTTTCAATCTTTCTGAGAGGTTTTCTTTATATTTTTTACCGTAAGAACCTTGTACAGAGTATTAGAAAACTACAAAAAAAAATCAGCCAAATCGGTCAAGCCGTTTTCATGTTATGTCGTGACAACGGAAAACGGGTTTCATTTTTATATATATAGACTAGCGGACCCGACAGACGTTGTCCTGTCTACACGTCTTTAATTTGAAAATTTCAAACTTTTTTTAGTAAGCTAAAACATTCTGGACCATTTTGATGAAAATTACCATTCCCAGATCCCCTTGAACACACACAAAAAATTTCATCAAAATCGGTCCAGTCGTTTAAGAGAAGTTCAGTGACATACACACTCACAGAAGAATTATATATATAAAGATTTGTCACTGCGATGGTAGCGCCGTCTGTCGGATCCAATGTAAAACATTCCAAAATCAACAACTACTAATAAATTAAAAATTAATTAAAAAAAAATGGTTGCCTGTAAAGTCGGTTTTACGGGCGAAGATTTTACGTGACAACGTCTTTTTCTCGGTAGAATATTTATTGATATGAATATAATTAAATTGCACAATAGGAACAAGGAATTGAATGAAAATAAGAATTGCACAAATTTTAACTATAGAAATATATTTTGTTTACTAAAACATTGTACATGTAAACTTAAACTTAACACGAGAGACTCATCGTAACGTTACCGAGCGTTACACTTTTTCATAAGTGACTCCCAGCCGCAACCTAATTTAAGACGTTGTCACGTCAAAAAACATTGTCCAGCGGACAAAATTGTGAATCTAAACCATTCTCAGATCCCCTTGAACACACACAAAAAATTTCATCGAAATCGGTCCAGTCGTTTAAGAGAAGTTCAGTGACATACACACTCACAGAAGAATTATATATATAAAGATAGATATAGAATTGGGAAGGCCTGTGCCCCAGCAGTGGGGGCATTAATAGGCTGATGATGATGATGATGATGATGATGATGAGTTGTCACCTCGCCCCCAGGAGCCGATCGAGTTGTCTCACTACCCATCCGCGTACAAGCCGGCGCCCGGCACGCAGCCCAAGATCGAGCGAGACGACTTCCCAGCACCGCCGTACCCATACACCGACCCTGGTAAGCATTGAAACAATTTATTTATAACTAGCCGTGCCCCGCGGTTTCACCCGCGTTTTTTCACTTAGAAATATCGAGATAAAATATTCGTAATAACTTTTATAGCACAGTGTGACCTAAACCCGCACTTTACGCACGCTTTTCCGTGACCTAAGTTGCCTATTTCTGCACGGTGTGTAAATGAATTGACCAACTTCACTCATGTAGAAAAAATAAAAGGAAACACATTTAAATGTCATTTGGAGCTTAAAAACTCACAGCAAACAAATGACAAACCCTCTTGCCCGCGTCCGGGGCGGTATTATGTCACACTTGCTATAAAATAGTATATGATACTTGTGGCCTAAGTTGTCTATTACTGCACGGCGTGAAGTTAGCGCCCGAGCGGAGCGTGGCAACTTAGGTCACGCGTATCGTAATGTACTATTAAACGAAATATCCTATTGAGATGAAACAAAAAGTATTTCACTTCTACATAAATACTCTTGATAACATAATGCTTAATTTCGATAAAGATTAATATTACGATACATATTTTACGTTTTTTTTTGTTTAGACGATTTAATAATTATTTTGAACACAAAATCTGTTATTGTGATTAAACCATGATAGCTAGATATATGTTCTCGCGGACTTTTTTGTAGGTCTTAATGGGATCTACAAACCCGTAGTACATCATTTTGTTCTATTGTCAATAGTTTTTGCAGCGCACGCAAAAATAGGTTTTCGATTTTACACCTTATGTTACAAAATAGCAATTTTATTACGGATCCCTAATTTTGAGAAAATAAATGGACTACCTAACACTGAAAGAATCATTCAATTCGGACTAGTACTTCCAGAGATTAGCGCGTTCAAACAAACAAACAAACTCTGCAGCTTTATAATATTAGTATAGATAGATAGATAATCATTATGACCTTAGCACTAACCGATATAATAACCAGTTATTATAGTTTTTGAAAATGTGAAACATCATTGTCATATTTTGTATGGAAACTTGAACAGCAACTCCTCACAGTACACATTTGACGTATAATTCAACTATTCCAATTCGATATGGTTCGTGTTGAGGGTATAGTATACTAGCCGATTTTCGAATACTACAGCTGCTATGCGAATCTTTAGAATTATAACGGTGAACAGAGGTTGCTTAAAATATGCTATATGCACGAACCAGATTATTGTCAAATATTAATTGCTATTTTAAAGTTTAATTTTTGCACATAGCAGATATTGGTTTAACGACGACATATCGTTCTTGTGAATACATGTCAATTCGAATCTTTACACTTCTATTTCTTGTTTAAATTAATTTAAGCAACCGAATTTAACCCGACATTCGAGAGATCTAACCGAAATTTTATTTCATAGTTAACAATTCCTTAAAACGGTTCAACGTCGAAAAAAATTGTGTATTTTTTTTTGTGTTTTGATGTATCCAAAAAAAAAGCCAAATTGCGCGGGCATTTTAAGCGCTCGCTGTTTTCAAACCTATTGCATTTTATTTTGTTTAAGCTCAGACTAGTTACACCGTGTTTTGACCATATTACACAAGTGTAATTTGTCATTCAATGAACAGCCACAAAATAGATTGACTAATCCTAGCTTAGTCTCGTTTATTGGTAAGAGGGATAGTGTGATGTCACCAAGGGCGGATCCAGCTTTGGCGCCAGGGGGGGGGTCATATAGCCAGCTTTGGCGCCAGGGGGGGGGTCATATAGCCAGCTTTGGCGCCAGGGGGGGGGGGTCATATAGCCAGCTTTGGCGCCAGGGCGGGGGTCATATAGCCAGCTTTGGCGCCAGGGGGGGTCATATAGTCAGCTTTGGCGCCAGGGGGGTCATATAGTCGTGGTATATTAAATATTGAAAGTACTTAAATAAAATCCCCCTGGGTTTGGTCCATCTATACCCAGCCCAGGGATCCGCCCTTGGATGTTACAGTCTTTAGCAACGTAGCAAAAGCGTATTAATACCTAAGTAACACTGCTTGCGCGAGCGCAACGTAATATTCGGCTTTCTACTAACACTTACAAGTTGCTGACTTTTTATATGCGCACCTGCGAATTGTTGAATCACTTTGTTTTGCTTTGCTCCATATTTTATTTATGTTTGCATTGAGACAGTTATGCGTTTCGCAGATCGCTATTACTTTGTGATTTCTCTAATTATTTATTTCAACTGCTTTCTGTGGGAATATTTATAAAATCTTAAATTGTTTTTCAAAACATTTTTAAGTTTAGTTTTGAAGTACTCAATATTTAAATAAAACTAGTTTTTACGGGTTAATGCACGAAACTTTATGTATTTATTGACGTTTCGCAGCCTTTTCAGGTCTGCATCGTCAGAATAATGAATAAAATACTTTATTAAGTAAATTAAATAATAAATTCATACATAGACAATAAAATTTTAAAAATCTTCCAATGAAATAACCGAACGCTCAATATAAGTCTTTCGAAGGTAGCTCGACAATTTTAAATAAAAAATCATTATTCTGACGATGCAGACCTGAAAAGGCTGCGAAACGTCAATAAATAAATAAAGTTTCGTGCATTAACCCGTAAAAACTAGTTTTATTTAATGAGTGATGTGCGTGAAAACCTAAGAAACAAATATACTCAATATTTATTACCAGAACGCTCGTGGACTTCGTTCTTAAACTAATGAATTTTACATTCTCCGATATAACCGAATCTCCCGAGCTGCTTTCCTTTAAGATGTAATGTTCCCACTAGAAGCGTTCGTATTTTCAAATCAATTTATATCCCTACTTCCAAAAGAAAACAGTTACTATTCGAAGTAGGGATATAAATTGATTTTAGGCAAAATTCATTTTTATTAAGTGCTGTCACATGTTTAAATAGTATGTCCGTAAATTTAGATTTAGTTAACTGCAGTTGCGAATCTGTTAGCTGTAAGTTAAGCGATTTTTATTTGTAAATATTTAACAAAGTATCTTTTTTAATTCTTCTCACATTATTAGTTATTTAGTGACTCAGTGAGCTTAATGTTTTGATAAGTTAGTGACTTTTTATCATCAGGGTGAACCTTTAATTGTTGAACTGTTGTCAATAACACCCAGCGAAATTAAATAAATAAATAAATACGCTTAAAGATATGTCCATGTCCACGAGACCTAGTGTCTGTTTTGTTGATATGGACTATGACGTCACACCAAGTGTTCCAAATTTGCAAACTTTTCGCGAGCGAGTCCTACTTTATTAATCGTCGTATTCGTATCGCCAACGTCAAACGTTTCTATGGAAACTGAGCAGCGCCCCCTGCCGGACGCGAGGGCAAACTAGTTTTATTTATTTCATAGAACATTTTACATGGCGATATGATATGGACTATGAAGTCACACCAAGTGTTCCAAAATGGCGAGCGCTTATAAAATTTGCAAACTTTTCGCGAGCGAGTCCTACTTTATTAATGGTCGTATTCGTATCGCCAACGTCAAAGATTCTATGGAAACTGAGCAGCGCCCTCTACCGGACGCAAGGGCAAACTAGTTTAATTTATTTCATAGAACATTTTACATGGCGATATGATATGGACTATGACGTCACACCAAGTGTTCCAAAATGGCGAGCGCTTATATAATTTGCAAACTTTTCGCGAGCGATTCCTACTTTATTAATGGTCGTATTCGTATCGCCAACGTCAAACGTTTCTATGGAAACTGAGCAGCGCCCCCTGCCGGACGCGAGGGCAAACTAGTTTAATTTATTTCATAGAACATTTTACATGGCGATATGATATGGACTATGACGTCACACCAAGTGTTCCAAAATGGCGAGCGCTTATATAATTTGCAAACTTTTCGCGAGCGATTCCTACTTTATTAATGGTCGTATTCGTATCGCCAACGTCAAACGTTTCTATGGAAACTGAGCAGCGCCCCCTACCGGACGCGAGGCCAAACTAGTTTTATTTATTTCATAGAACATTTTACATGGCGATATGATATGGACTATGACGTCACACCAAGTGTTCCAAAATGGCGAGCGCTTATATAATTTGCAAACTTTTAGCGAGCGAGTCCTACTTTATTAATGGTCGTATTGGTATCGCCAACGTCAAACGTTTCTATGGAAACTGAGCAGCGCCCCCTGCCGGGCGCGAGGGCAAACTAGTTTAATTTATTTCATAGAACATTTTACATGGCGATATGATATGGACTATGACGTCACACCAAGTGTTCCAAAATGGCGAGCGCTTATATAATTTGCAAACTTTTCGCGAGCGATTCCTACTTTATTAATGGTCGTATTCGTGTCGCCAACGTCAAACGTTTCTATGGAAACTGAGCAGCGCCCCCTGCCGGACGCGAGGGCAAACTAGTTTTATTTATTTCATAGAACATTTAACATGGCGATAGGAGTACTCTCTCGCTAGCCGTTCGCGCTCTGGGTACTGGATTTGATTGTTAAACGAGGGGGTTTATTGTGTTATTAGAACGTCGTCGGCGTTGGTCGGACACTTACAAGGGTGTCGAGAGCGACTCCGAGGAGAACGGCGACACTCTCAACGGACACCAGCAACTGCGTAGAGAGGAACGCGAACTGGCCAAGATACAGTCCGGCATCGCGCAGGTCACTATACTATTATCTCTTATCTATTAGACAAGTCCGTCCGTCTGTCTGTGGTGCTGTTTCAGCGGCCAAACCGTAAGAGATAGATATAGAGAATGTTTAACTTATAAGTTAAGAATAGTCTGATAAGACTACAAACCGGATTTGAGTAACGTAGCACTTCCGGTTTTCGAGAAATCACGTGATTTCTATTTCAAACGAAACCACACAAAATCTCCGAAGTTCTCAATTAATAAATTCTTTTTTTTTTTTTGGTGAACATTTGGTTCACTGGTTTGCTAGTTTTTAATATAATAATTATAGAGGAGCTCGATGGTGCAAGTGGTTAGCGCGTTCGGCTGCGATCATTGAATTTAAGCAACTTTCGCAGTGGTCGGTCATTGGATGGGTGACCAAAAATCTTCTATCTCGAGTTCCTCCGTGCTTCGGAAGGCACGTTAAGCCGTTGATCCCGGCTGCATATGCAATCGTTAGCACCCACCAATCCGCACTGGGCCCGCGTGGTGGGTCATAGCCCAATATCCCTATTCCATCCATAGGGAAGGCCTGTGCCCCAGCAGTGGGGTCATTAATAGGCTGATGATGATCATGATGAATTGGCTTTGGGCAAGCATTTTACATTGAATTCCAAAATTTGAGTTTTGTTACTCGTTCCGTTTACGATCTAGAGACCAGGCACATACAGACGGTTTCTACCCTTTGGGTACGGAACCCTGTAAATTAGTCATCATCCCTACAATATTGTTGACGTGTGTGTGAAAAGAAATGGCAATATTTCTCTCCATTTATATTATTACTTATTTGTTTCTTAGGTTTTCACGCACATCACTCATTAAATAAAACTAGTTTTTTACGGGTTAATGCACGAAACTTTATTTATTTATTGACGTTTCGCAAAAGGGAGGCAGCTCGACAAATTACATAAAAAATTGGATTCCGACGACGCAGCCTATAAAGGCTGCGAAACGTCAATAAATAAATAAAGTTTCGTGCATTAACCCGTGAAAAACTAGTTTCATTTATTACTTACTAGAGGTCGCCCGCGACTTCGTCTGCGTTAACTTAGTTTCTTGAAAATACCTCTGGAATCTAAAATTTTTTTTGGGATCAAAGTAGCCTATGTGTTAATCTAGGGTGTCAGCTAACTCCATACCAAATTTTATTAAAATCCCGCCAGCCGTTTAGACGTGAAGAAGTAACAAACATACACACTCACATACTCACAAACTTTCGCCTTTATAATATTAGTGTGATTTCCGCGTAATTGTAACCAAATCAGCAATAAATCCAGCGGACTTTTTTCAGGTGTTCCTGAAAGAAGTTAAGGAAAGGGAGAAACTCCAGCAGTGGAAGAAACAGAATTTGGATCCCAGGAACGCGAGCAGGTGAGCGATGATTGATGATCAACACCGTGAGTCTAGTCGCTTCGGTCGTTCGGATTCAATGTATCACGCGAATGTTTTACCACTTTAAGTTTAAAGGACATGGTAAAGTTTTGTATGAGCGACTGCCCTGGCAATGTATAAATACTGTACTTAGTAATAGTTAATAGTAAAAAGCTAAGTATTTATAATTTCTATGAAAAAAGGCTCAGGAACTTTTGATAAGTCACAATCTTGAAAATTATGAGAACTCCTACTATGTCATTACCTTACTAAAGTTGATAAAAGATGTTGACAATTATTTACAGAGTGATCAATTTCGCATTTTCTTAGAATCTTTCTTCCCATTTCTCTGTATAACTCTTCAAAACAAAGTTTTTTTAAAGCAAAAAAAATGGATGCGTGTACTTATGTAGGCGCGTGAGAAGTTATCCTTCTTTGGCATTATTTAAAATTAGTTTTTAATTGCATGCAAATAATTAATTACAATAAATTAATAAAAAGTCTGGAAAAGGACACAGTCAGTAAAGTTCAGTTTTAATTTGAAAAAATAAATAAATAATCAAAATATTAAATTAAAATCGCTACTGAATATAATTTATTAGAACATATGTGATTTGCACTTGTATGAAACTCAAACACGTATTCCGAATATACAAACTAGAAAAATGTGGATAAATATTATAAATATGAATACCTATAACTGTTACTTTATTACAAAAAATAAAGATGTGGTTTTTGGTTCTACTACACCAATGGTCAAGAGATGGCGCTGTAGTCTCCTGAATCGCGCTTTGGTTTCGTTGTTCCAGATTAATAAATACTTTTGATAGGCCTTCACAATGCAGTCGTTAGCACCCACTAAATAGAGATTCTAATTCTATTTTGTTGGTAGATTTTCTTAATGTGCGGTAAACACAAAAGTAACGACCAACTTCATGCTGTTAATTTTTTGTGTTACAGTGATGCGCGCGCATCTTAAAATTTCAATCTCATAATTTTTTCATAACGCGCCTAAAGAAGTATAACTTCAATAAATACAAATAATTTGTTATCGTCGGCCTGACAGGTAATCTGTGAAGTTTTATTTTGTCCATTTGCAAAAATTAAAGGATTAATTATCATACAGCCTTGTCTCAAGCCTAATCAGAATAATAATAGTTATTTATTATACAAGAGTGGAAAGTTCCTTTTTAACCGCGTGCTCGATTTGGATGACCGAGCAAGCGAAGGATTCTAAAGTTGAATCACGAGCGCAGCGAGTGATTCTAAATTAGAATCCTGAGCGTCAGCGAGGGAAACAAACGAGCACAAGGTGAAAAATCTTTCCACTCGAGTGCAATACGTAACTTTTCATCCCACCTCAGCGAGGAAATGACAAAATGAAAAAGAAAACAATTTATAATGACAAAATATTTAAGCAATAAAACGTGAAAAACTAGAATGGCGCGAAGCACGCAAATAAAACAAAGAAACCAAGAAGGTTCCAAATTTAAATTTTTTCACAATTTAAAAAGTTCTAATCATAAATTTGGCACCATAGAGGTTACATTAAATAGGTTTAATGACGTTTTGAATTTACAATTATATTGAGTACTCATTATATGTGATGTTCTAAATTCAAATCTACTTTGCCGCTCAAGCGAATAAAATAGAATTTTCCAGCCAGATTTCGAAGCGCAAAATTACACTTTCCGAGGTGGTGGGATGAAAAATCTATTATTTTAGGCCTTCCGTGATTTGTTGTAACAAAAAAATAAAAATATGTCATAGTTTGAAGGAGTTTAGAAATAATATTGTTTCTTTCGTTAAACTTACACAGATACATATTTTGTGTATATTTGTTGTTCATTTATTTTGTAAAATGGAACATTTTGCTTTTGAAACAGACATGGAAGTCAATTTTTATACTTTTAAATATTTGATTATTTCACGAAAGTTTTATGAGAATAATAAACACGTAATAATTAAAAAATGTGTGCGTGTACTAGTGTACACGCGTAAGAAGTGAAACTTCTTTATGGCCTTATTTTTTTCGAAAAATGATCTACATGCAATTTTCCAGAAATATATATATAGGCGTGCGCTAAGATTTTTCAAAAACTCACCCACTAAAGGGGTATAACTACACCTTACCTTACCTTACCTTACTTTACCTTACCTCACCTTACCTTACCTTACCTTGTGTGAAACACGAATATTTGCTGTCGATACTTTTTTTTTTTTAAAGTTGACAGAAGAAGCAATTGTTCGGATGAGGTAAATAGTGCTCTTTTAAAAAAAAGATGGCGCGTAACCAAAAAACCTGACGCGTAACCGAAAAAAATGTGACGGTAAATTTTTTTCCAACGCCGATAAAGAAGTTTCACTTTAATAAAAAAATATTGTAAAGTTACATGCTAGTGCGAAATATTTATACACGTTAAGGGCAGTTTCTTAGCCATGTCCTTTGATGCGACCGACAGTAACGCGAAGCACTCATTGCAATATAAAGTTCGCGCCTACACTTATAATGCGATTCAACTAAGAACAGGATCGACTGGGCGCCATTTTGTGATGTCAAAGCTGTCAATTGAAACAGAATAGGTAGAGTGAGCAATAAAAGTTTTTCTTCGATAAAACTTATTTACTAAGATTAAGTTTCTAACCTTAACAAATTTATATATTTTCGAACTCTGTTAATTTGTATAACAAAACCCAAGCTATTTTAAGACTAACGAAACGAAACGAAATACACTAAACATACGTTTTAAAGATAACCTCCACTTACCAGCCAGTAGATTAGAAATGTTTAGCAGTAGTACATTTGTCATGTGCATTAAAATCTTTATATATATAATTCTTCCGTGAGTGTGTATGTCACTGAACTTCTCTTAAACGACTGGACCGATTTTGATGAAATTTTTTGTGTGTGTTCAAGGGGATCTGAGAATGGTTTAGATTCACAATTTTGTCCGCTGGACAACCCCTATTTGTTTAGGGCGGTACGAAGTTCGCTGGGTCAGCTAGTATATAATAAAATTCCACAACACTTGGAAGTCGGAGGTTGATGATAAATCATTTCTAAGAGCTTTAAAAGATATTTAATAGGTAAAGCATTTTATAGTTTGGAAGAGTTTTTAAAGTAACAAAATGACATTATTATACTAAATTGACATTGTAAAATACTTTATTGATATTTTATTTTAATGAGCGCATATTAATAAATTGAACGATATTTATTTCAATTAGTACCCAATTGTAATTAAGCCACGTTGACATGTTTATAATATTATTTGATTTAAATTTATTTTAAAGTAAATTATTGTATTATATTGTAGTGCCCCAACGGGGTTCCATGTTTGTACCTAATGTATTTATATTTTGAGACCTTTTAAACCATGGAGACAATAAAGAATTGAATTGAAGTGAGAAAAAGTATCAGTTCATTAGATGGGTGACCAAAAATTTACTATCTCTCACTCCTCCGTGCTTCGGAAGGCATGTTAAGCCGCTGATCCCGGCTGCATCTGCAGTCGTTAGCACCCGCCAATCCGCTCTGGGCCCGCGTGGTGGGTCATCACCCGCACTCCTTATTTCATCCATAGGGAAGGCCTGTGCCCCAGCAGTGAGGACATTAATAAACTGGTGATTTGATAATGTATTTTATCCGTTACCCTAGTATCTCATTACACGAGTCTTACACTGCTTACTTTGGGGCTAGGCTAAATCGGTGCGACTGTTGGATATCAATCAATCAATACTTTATTGCGTTCTACAATGTTTTCTTAGATCTTAGTGAGTACATTGCTTTGATCATTGCAGACCCTGAACAGGGCACAGCAAATAGAGAAGAGGACGCGTTCACTAATTGTAATTTAGTTAGTACGTATACAATTTACCAGCCAAATACGATAATTTTTTACCCAACAAATAAAAAAAATATTAATATCAACATTATTTAATCATTTTAGCACAATATTATATTATTTGATTTATTATCTACTAGTGGCCCGCCCTCGCTTCGCTTCGGTGTAGAGCTGAAGTGTAGACTATAGTTATTGTTCTCAGGCCTGTATTATACACAATGACATTCTTCTTATACCTACCGCCGCCGCGACCCGTGTCGAACGTGAAAAGTATACTATAACCTGCCCAGGAGTATGAAGAATAATTGTACCAAGTTTCGTTAACATCCGTCGAGTAGTTTTTGTTTCTATAAAGAACATACATACAGACAGACAGACAGACAAAAATTTTACTGATTTTTTTTTAAATACAATTTTTTTATTTCCATACCTTACTAAATATTACATTATATATAAGTATTAAATATGAATCGGAAAAAGGAGTAGGCACAGCGCAGCTGGTTTTAAGCCTACCCATCGTCAAATTTTGTGGTTAGTTATACAATTTAATTCAATTATAAATAGCCAATTACATGTCAAATATATTAATTACAATGTCAATTCATTTATATGTCATTCAAAGCTTAGTCAATACAATGTCACGTTATATTTAAAATGTCATATTTTTTTTACTAGTCAATTACAATTTATGTTATTCTTACACACAATAAATGTTAAATATATCAATTACAATGTAATTTTTTTTTACTTGTCACTTAATTACAATTATATAATTCTTACACACAATAAATAATAATATACAATCCAGGTAAATTAATTAATTTAGTACATCTACGATTAATGACTCACATTACTGACCAATAGTTTGCGAGTTTAGCGTATTTAACTTTGCTCTCATAGGGACAGACAATATTTTCAAATTAATTGCATTTTTGGCATCAGTATCGGTCACTAATCACCCCCTGATAGTTATTTTGAAACTATATTTCATGTACAAATTGATCTCTCTATAGATTTATTATAAGTATAGATATGACTTTATATATTTTTTAAGCATTTAACTGCTAGATGTTTAAATCTAAAGAAAAGTTTACTAGAAAAAAGTCCAAGCGGACCAGGCAGCGGACGGGACTCGAACCCGCATCCTTCGCTATCCGGGCGAATGCACTGACCATTATGCTACCACGGCATTTGACATTGTGGGTTACCTACAATGCGAAGAGATGGCGCTGCCTTGCAGCTTAAGGCTAGGAAAATTTCGACGCGGCTAATAGGGCCGTGGTAGCATAACGGTCAGTGCATTCGCCCGGATAGCGAAGGATGCGGGTTCGAGTCCCGTCCGCTGCCTGGTCCGCGTGGATTTTTTTCTACTAAACTTTTCTTTAGATAAGTATAGATGTCATATTGTATAGTATATCATATATTGATTAATTTAGGACTCCGAACGCGGCTCGCGAGTCGGGCGCGAGACTCCGCTACTCGTCGCCGGTGGGTGCGTCCCCGTCGCGATCCCTCGACCATGCGCGTGCGCATGCACACACGCTAGACCATCACCACCTCTCCTCCTACAACGGTCAGTACATATACGAACACTACACTCACCCTACACACACACTACGATACACCCCTCAGGTTACAGTAGTCTAGAGGTCAGGTATACCTCTAGAAGCACTCGCTATTTCTAGGCTCGAGGTCCCCTTAGGATCTAGCCGTCGAGGCCGTCCCCAAACCCGGTGACGCTTTAAAGGTCATCTGCGACCTGTTGGTCGCAAACACGATACACTACACTTACCCTACACACACACTATTATATACCCCTCAGGTTCGAGTGGTCTAGAGGTCAGAGAGAGGTCAGGTATACCTCTAGAGGCACTCGCTAATTCTAGGCTCGAGGTCCCCTTAGGATCTCGCCGTCCCCAAACCCGGTGACGCTGTAAAGGTCAACAGCATACACACTCAAAAAAAACACGATACACTACACTTACCCTACACACACCACGATATACCCCTCAGGTTACACTGGTCTAGAGGTCAGAGAGAGGTCAGGTATACCTCTGGAGACACTCGCTAATTCTAGCCTCGAGGTCCCCTTAGGATCTAGCCGTCGAGGCCGTCCCCAAACCCGGTGACGCTTTAAAGGTCATCTGCGACCAACAGCATACACACTCAAAAAAAAAAACACGATACACTACACTTACCCTACACACACAGCGATATACCCCTCATGTTACAGTGGTCTAGAGGTCAGAGAGAGGAGACTCCCCCTGTGGGGCGATGCCATCCGACTGGAATACCACTCAAGCACTCGCAAATTCTAAGCTTGAGGTTCTCTTAGGATCTCGCCGTCCCCAAACCCGGTGACGCTGTAAAGGTCAACAGCATACAAAAAACACGATACACTCAACACTACGCAACGAATTAGAAGTCATATGGTAGCAAGACCGCTGAAACATGCTTCCAACATGAAATGGAACTCCAAAATTTGTAGATATTCCAAATTGTTACTGTTCCCGAATATAAACCGATCCCGTGATCTGCGTGTTAATCGCATTTTTATTTCGCCCCGCCCACTTGATCGCACTTTTCATGGAACTTCTTTTTAGCACAGGTCGTATTCCATATTATTTCTGATTCGTTGACACTACCAAGAAAAATATGTTTACCTTTCAAAATGTATAAATATATTGTGACGAAAGGACATGCTCCTGCCAATTATATTTTATTAAAGACTAAAGATTATAGCAAATCTAACCGAATTACTGATAAAACGGATATTCGTACAAAAGGGGAAGAAGAGAATTTTTACATTTAGTTTCTTAAACTAACTTTTACTCGTTTGCATAAGATAGAAATATTCAACCATACCAACTCCTGAAAGAACATTTTGAACAAAAATTGAAAAGTAAATGGAAGGTCCAACAGATTAGACCAGGGTCGATAATTTTTGAGACCAAAAAAAATTATATTAGGATGAAACCCATTAGAAAAGGTAGAGAATATAACAAAAATGAAAGGAAAATTAAATTACGGGCGATCTGAGGTCGGGAAGGGGGAGGGGGGGAGGTTTTAAGGGTAAAAAATGGTTCATCTCGATTTCCGGTAAAACTGCAAGTCCTTTGAAAAAAAGTTAAATGGCAAAGTTGTAGGTAATAAAAAGATCTACAACTTTTGTATCGACACTTTTTTCACATAACCTCAAAATTTATGTGAAAAATGCGAATAACCGAGTTTTTGGTTTTTGATTTTGATTTTTTGCAAAAAAAAATATTTTTTCACGAAATTTGGTGAAAACTTACCTTTGTATGTCCCAAACATACAGTAATTTTTTTGATTTAAAATATTCATTTTTTCACATTATTTTGACTTAATATCGAAAAAGCACCCTTATTTTCAATCGAAAATTCTCACGTCAAAATATCAGCTTTTTTAAAAAAGTTGGGGTGTTTTTTGTTTGTTGAAATCTCTACTTTCTGATGGTATAAAAAAATATACACTACTATGGTAAATGTTCTCAGAAACTGCAAATTAATAATGAAAAAAACTCCAATCCGAAAAATTGATTTGAATCATTATGTATAATTTTGAACTATTTATTAAAATTTACACTTTAATTACTCGAAAAACGTAAGATTTCATGTTATATTGATAAACAGAAAAATTACAAATCCATAAAACATGCAAAAATAGTTGTTGTAAGTAGGTATTAAAAATAGGATTTTTGGATTCGAGTTTTTTTCATTATTAATTTGCATTTTCTGAGAACATTTATCATAGTGGTGTATATTTTTTTTATACCATCAGAAAGTAGAGATTTCAACAAACAAAAAATACCCCAACTTTTTTAAAAAAGCAGATATTTTGACGTGAGAATTTTCGATTGAAAATAAGGGTGCTTTTTCGATATTAAGTCAAAATAAGGTGAAAAAATGAATATTTTAAATCAAAAAAATTACTGTATGTTTGGGACATACAAAGGTAAGTTTTCACCAAATTTCGTGAAAAAATATTTTTTTTGCAAAAAAATAAAAATCAAAAACCAAAATCTCGGTTATTCGCATTTTTCACATAAATTTTGAGGTTATGTGAAAAAAGTGTCTAATACAAAAGTTGTCGATCTTTTTATTACCTACAACTTTGCCATTTAACTTTTTTTCATAGGACTTGCAGTTTTACCGGAAATCGAGATTAACCATTTTTTACCCTTAAAACCTCCCCCCTCCCCCTTCCCGACCTCAGATCGCCCGTAATTTATTTTTCCTTTCATTTTTGTTATATTCTCTACCTTTTCTAATGGGTTGTTTCATCCTACTATATTTTTTTTTCACTTTTCACCATTTTTAAAATTATCGCCCCTGGTCTATATAGCGAAGATACTGATAAATGTTATATTGTATTTTTTTCTGTATACAAGCACGAAAGGCAAAAACTTATCGGAAACAGGTGACCGTTACGCGTGCTTGAGCTAACAAGAAAAAGTTTGATTTACAACAATTTAAAAATTCTGTTCTCTCCACTATCTCTTAAACTTTACTAACCATCGCGCGCTGCCTGATCAGATGTAATTAATCTATCCGGTGCATCGGTAAATATCATACATCCAGCTCTAAACGCTGTGAAGTAAAATACCTCACAAATTACGCCTGACAAGACTGCCATGACCTTTAACTCAATTTTACTATTCATACATTACAACTACACATGAAATTACTTTAGGATATTTAAACGCTCATTGATATATTTAGATAGCTTTGAAACCAAATGGAGCTGTTGTTTGAGCCAAAATGATATGCATTCATAGGCATTATAAAACTTTATGCTCACATGATGATGACAAACTTTTTTCTTCTTGTATCTGATAGATTCTCAAATTATATTGGACACGTATTTCCATTCCATTCACATATAATCAAAACATTACGAAGATAAAATATTGATTTTCCACGTCGCATGACGTCATGTCTTCGTACAATGTTTACTTAGAAATGACGTCACTATCTGCCAAACTATGACGCGCTTTATCTTTGTAATTTTTTGTTCGATTGACAAAATAAAAAAATAAGTGTCTATTATAACTCTTTGATAACCTAACTGTCGGAGTTCATCATCATGCCAATTGCATCATTGAGCTTCCAAGCTATCCAAATGCTACATTAATGTACTTTAACATATATATATATATGTTTAAATTGTTGTATTTCTTGGACTAACGGGTGCAAGTTCTAACCTCCCCTCACCTCACCGGCAACTACGGTCCCGAGCTATTTTTCATCGTGACCGCCACTTGTTCTGCCAATATAATATATATATTAAATAAAACTAAATGTTTTCAAAAAGAAAAAAATTGAACTTGCAAATATAAATAAATTTATTTTCTGGTCCTTCGAGCAGCCACTTTGATGTTTATATCAAAACGCCCATATTTCTAGTTTATATTTCATTTTGGAAACAATATTTGATGTCAGTTCGAGTCCAGACTATGTTTAATCGCCTCGCATTGATCTTGTTACTGAACGTGATCGCATTTAATAATTATTTACAAATTAATATTATTAACTCGAATCTGATAAATATATGTATGTCGTATGAAAGAACAGAGCCTAGATGAGGTTATATGTTGGTTGCGTGTTGCAGTGCATACTTATATCATAGACGACGGTATAACTCGTACCGAACATCGCTTTCGACCATTAACTTTAAAATATCATTTGTCCAGACACATCTATGCTTTGTCTTCTAGTTGTATCATTGCAGACGGTTCCCACCATCTTTTCCCAATAAGACGTCAGTCAGTCAATAAATGATATTAAATTTTTTGAATGAATCAGATGACGCACTCGGCCTCTTCTATTGATGCATTAAGCCATTGTCGTTATCATATGTGGTAAAGAGAACTTAAAAATTTAAATGATATCAGAGTACGCAGCAATCTGTTATCATTGTTAGTTTTCCAATAGTTAACAAAAAAAAAACTATTAAATTTTGGTAAACTTCTGTCTGTCTTATTGTGGATTCGGGTTGTTGGAATCGGCCGTAAGCGGACCAGTACTAACGATCATTTTCATCTATTAAAAAATTAACTGACAAGATGTCGCTCTTTTGAGGTTACAAACTTATGAGAGTGATGAGTTACGCAACATTTTGCGCTGGTGTCTTTCGGTCTTCATACTCGCTTGGCATTTCACTGAACCAGTTAAAACAATACGAAAGGAAATTAATAAAACGGATATACTCGTAAAGTACCTTTCTTGCTTTCTGAACTGAATTTTTTTGGGAACTTTTTAATACACTTCTTCATTCAGTGTTTGTAACAGTAATATGGTACCTATCTAATGCCGCTTCCTATATACTAAATATAACATTATTATGGTAACTTTATACATCTATATCCTAGATAATGTAATGGAAGATGACTTCAGAAGTATCTCTAAAGTCATTTTTCAACTTGACGACTCTGTATATATCAATACAGGGAGAAAAAAGCAGCCCTTGCTGAGTTTCTTGCCGGTTCTTCTCAGTACAAGGTCTAACTCCGTAGTTTTGCGAACCGATGGCGTAGCTTCTTGACCTTCACAAGTGCTTGTAACAGCCTAGACTGAATAAATGACTTTTCATTTCATTTCATCGTTTCATGCCGCTGTGCGTGATAAAACAATGTTGCAATATGAGTTTAATTATAATCTTCATATCTAAATTACGAGTGGCGTTGTTTGTCCAGGACCAAATTATACTCCTAAACCAATATTTAATCAAATTTCCATAACCTATGCAGTTTGATCCAACTCAAAGCTGGGATAACTTTCATCTCAATTTATAGTCGCAATATTATTTTATTGCAAATTATTACTTTTGGGGGGTACGAATTTCGCCGTGTCAGCTTATGTTATGTAAGGGGCCGTTCATAAAATACGTCACGCTAAAATCAGCTTTTTCCGACCCCCTCCCCCCCCTATTGTCACGCTGTGTCACACTTTCTGTGACCCCTCTTGAAATATGTCGTCACATAAACGGAGACCCCCCACCCCCCCAAGTATGATTAATTTCAAAGAAACTCGAAAAATAAACATGATTAAATATATCAAGTTACAATTTATTGTATAATAAATAAGAAAATTGAGAAAGAAAAATAGTTGAAAGAAATACTAATTTAAATTTTTTTAATGAACGACGAACGTCACGTTGCCGTAGACCCCCCGCCCCCCCTTGTCACATCTTGTCACACTTAGCAAGACCCCTCCCCCCCCCCCCCCCCCTTGTATGCGAACGTATTTTATGAACGGCCCCTTATGAATTTGAGTAGCAATATCTAATTTTGTGATATCAGCATCCGAGAGTAAGAAATGTACTTATTAATTAAAATTGTTAAAATAAAGAAAAGACGTGAAGTGTTAAAGCTAGTACGTAGTATGTTGGGAGGTGGGTACCGGGTCGGGTCGGGTCGGGTCGGGTCGGGTCGGGTCGGCGCGGGCGGTGGTAAGTTATCTGCTTCATAACATCGCTTCTGCAGCCCTCCACAACTGTATCATTATCACAATAAAAACGGAGACGATATTTAGTCGTGGCAAATATATATTTGTAACTTTAAGTGCCCTATGCTTTTCTTGGTCTTCTGTAGACATCAGTTTGACTGAGCTTTGACTCTGCAACAACTTGGCCCTTGCTACATTCTTAAAACATTCATATATCTGTTTTGTAAAGAGACGAGAGTTATGAAGACTATACTAGACTCTATAGACAACATATTCTTTACCTATCCAACTATTTCACAAATATTTATTATCATTGGAGCTTTACATGTTTCAACAATTGGTATTTAAAATGTTCCCTCTCTCTCTTTCTTTTAAAGAATGTTCACTGGGAGTATAAATGAAAAATGTGGCTCAAGTCATTTCTTAAACTGAAGTAATGTCTTTTCTTTGTTTATCGAAAGGCTATTTTTAATCTAACTTGCTTCTATTTTCATTAAGATGTCAATCTTTGTTGAATACATAAAATCATACGTCCAGTATTAAGTCACGGGCTTACAATTTCTCCTAGTTTGATGCTTTGAGCTTCTTTAAAAAGATTGCATGCATGTATAATGATATATGTATCTATGTAGTTTAACACAAACAAATGTTCATACTTCATCTAATTAACTCTAAAAGTAAGAAACTATATAGGCAGATATATGGCGTTAATCTTGCTAGCATTCGTGACAACACTTTCGAATCACAATAACTAATAACTGGGGCTGTTGTTAAAATTAAACGTTTATCACTCATGCTAATATATATGTCCCCCTCGCACATCCTACCAGGAGTAACGCGCGAGAGGGACAGAAAATCGCGTTTCTGCCGATTTGTTTCTATATAAGTTAATCTATTGTATCGTTGTAAATCTGCCATTACACTTGTTGCATGTTCCATCATACAATTGTATATTTATCTATTTATTGGCTACAAGGATGATCAACGGAATACATGAAACCTATCTATACACATAACACAGTTCTAGAAACTGTTATAGTTCCAATAAATATATTTTCACTTTTCATTTACCTATCAATTTTACACGTTACACAAAGTAAGGGTTCCTATTCGTACAGTAATCCAAAATGAAATGAATAAATAAATACAGAGATAGATAGATCCTGTTAGTCACACAAACGATTACAAAAGACGATTATAGAAAATTGCATCCTGCGTGGTAGAGTCCGAAGCCCGAAGTAACTTCGGGCTTTGAGAGAAAACTCGATATTAAACTGATTTCCGTGAATAGAGAATAAGCAAGCAATAGAAGAGTTCCGCACATCAGAGTTTGTCTATACATAGAAACATAGAGGAGGAGCTCGATGGCGCGGGTGGTTAGACTGTGATCTTCAAGGTTAAGCCACTTTCGCAGTAGTCGGTCATTGGATGGGTGACCAAAAATCTTCTATCTCGAGTTCCTGCGTGCTTCGGAAGGCACGTTAAGCCGTCGGTCCCGGCTGCATCAGCAGTCGTTAGCACCCGCCAATCCGCACTGGCGGTGGTGGGTCATAGCCCAATCTCCCTATTCCATCCATAGGGAAGGCCTGTGCCCCAGCAGTGGGGACATTAATAGGCTGATGATGATGATGATGAAAAATATAGATCAAACACGTGGGTTTACTGTATGAATGATTCCTTATACACAAGATACTGTTCATGACCGAATATAGTTAAGATAAGTCGTTTATCAAAGCTTTTGATGAAATTATATTTTTTACTTACGTCAAGGAAAATGATACAAGTGTATTTTTTTAGTTTGAAAATTGATGACACATATTGTATACCCAACGGAAAACTTCTTGAGCAAAACCACAGACAAATAAACTTACGTAGTAGACGTATTTGTAATTTGTATGTTTAATGAAGGCTATCGCGTATGAATCCGCCGCTAGAGGCGCTAGTGTAGCGCGAGGTCTCCGAAATGTCAAATGTTATTGCTTGTTGGTTGACTGCGCGGGTTTATTTCTAATTAAAATAATGTTGTGAATAATTGGTAACAATTCGGCTTAATTATGGCAAATATGAGTTATGTGGCAATGAATGTCAGTTATTAAAATTTTGAGCTTAGAAAAATGATTATGTTCCCATTTTTTCCGAATAAAACGGAACTGGGCGTCACTGTGGCATGGCCTATTATGTTTAGGATATGGTTCTTTTGTGTTAAAATACCATCTAAATGTAACCTTTGATTTCATGTGCGTATTAATAAACTTTAAAAGTTACAATTTAGGACCTCACTCAACAATGGCGCCATCTGGTGAGACAGAAAACGGTAGCCCTCATTGCAACCGCGCAGGCTTTCTTGTCTATGGACGTTGCTCAAGAATTTTGGATGTATACGTTTTTCATAATTTATTATATCGATTCTAAAACTAAAACCATTTTTAAATAATTAATGAAAACATCAAATTCATTGGCGTAACTTCAGGCCACATTATGAAACAGAGATTAAAGTTAACAACTAATCGGTGAATTAAGGAAGAATTAACTTTTACTGCGTACCTTTAATCAATGTTTTGTAACGAGGTCTTATAATATTATTTAAGAATTCTTTATTTTTTTTATATTTCTATTTGTTTTTCGTTGCCGCTGTGATGTGTTTTGATACAGCATGTGTCGGAATTCACATAATTTTTTTCACACATGAACTTTGTATACACAGCAATTATGTGAATTCTATTCGGTAGAACAGTCGAATTTGTCTAGTTGTTTTTCGACTGTGTTCTGTGAATCTCATGCGCAAGCCAACAACGGGACCGACCTCACTGGCATTTAAATTAATTAAAGAAAGACGAACAGTCAACGCTCACTCGCGACATGATTTGTATTCTATACAAAATTAGAAAATATTGCCATGCCCCTTTAAAAATTTTAAAGTTTCAAATAACTGATCGTTATAATTTTTATTATTTTAAAGCATGAAACTGCTTGATGTTTAAATCTAAAGAAAATATAACAAGAAAAAAATCTACGCGGACCAGGCAGCAGACGGGACTTGAACCCGCGCCCTTCGCAATCCGGGCGAATGCACTGACCAATTATGCTACCGCAGCCCTCACGGACCGCGTCGACATTCTTCTAGCCATTCTTAAGCTGCAAGGCAGCGCCATCTCTTCGCTTCTCTTCTGCTGCCTGGTCCGCGTAGAATTTTTTCTAGTTATATTTTCTTTAGATTCAATTAATAAATATTAAAATGGTTGTAATTTATTTTTGTGTCTTTGAAGAGATGGCGCGAGTTTAGTGCTGCATAATAGTACTGTCCCCGTCCAGTCTCGCCACGACCGCCTACCCTAACAACCCTATTTTGTTTTGCAAATTTTGACAATGACATTTCGGACTCGCAAACTATTCGAATTCGAAATTGGTTCTTGCTAAGGGTATAGTTCCAAATAATAATGTACTCGTAGTATGGAGACACGGCTCTGTCGCTCGCGCGGGCTTGGCTTCTCCCTCGGCTCGGTCGTGTCGGGTCCGGTCGGGTCGGGTCGGGTCGTGTCGGGTCGGGTCGGGTCGGTCCCGTGTCGGTGTGCGCGTGTGTGTGTGCGTGTGCGTGTGGTGACGTGGAGGCGCGTGTGTGGCAGCTCTGGGGCGGTCGGGGATGGGCGTGGGGACGGGCGCGGGGCACGGGGCGGGGCCGCGATGCAGCACGCTGCCGCCCGCGCTGAGGCACAACGTGAGTACTGACCCACTGCACGTCCGATACCCTGCCACGGTACCCGGTACCCAGCTGCTCTGACACCGCTGCGCAGGCTCCTGACTAAACTTATCCTCGCATATCAGCAGGCCACATCCACTACCGTTATTCCTGTCGGAATTTATAATACGTACGGATCGAATGGTAGTTAATAAATAAAACTAGTTTTTTACGGGTTAACGCACGAAACTTTATTTATTTATTGACGTTTCGTAGACTGTAAAGACTTTTTTTTTGGTCTTTAAAAAGTAAAAAAGTCTTTCGAAGGTAGCTCGCCAAAACTAAATAAAAATTTGATTCCGACGACGCAGCCTGTAGAGGCCACGAAACGTCATAAATAAATAAAGTTTCGTGCATTAACCCGTAAAAAACTAGTTTTATTTAATGAGTGATGTGCGTGAAAACCTAAGAAACAGGTAGTTAATAACTTGGTCGCTCTTGCAATCCACTACTGCACAATCGTTCGGATTATTATAGATTCCGGCAGGAATTAATGTTAGTGGATGGCCCGCTATTCTTCCGGCGATTTGCGACGAGTCGAATGGTAGTCTTTCGTTTTAAAGTTGACGCTTCATTCCTGTCGGAATTTATGATACGTACGGATTGAATGGTAGTTAATATCTTGGTTGCTCTTGCAAATCCACTACTGCACAATGGTTCGGATTATTATAGATTCCGACAGGAATTGATGTAAGTGGACGGCCCGCTATTCTTCCGGCGATTTGAGACAAGTCAAATGGTAGTCTTTCGTTTTAAAATTGACGCGGTTTGTATTAGAAATTATGTCGATTCTGCACGATAGATTTGGAACACGTTTTGTCGTTTGATGCTTTTTTTTTAAACTACAACTGCCTTATTACGAAACGTTCACTAAAGTTAAACCTGGTTTAAATAGCGATGCTGTCACTTTTGTTCGCTAAAAATAAAAGTGAGACAACGTTAGATTTAAACCAATACTAACTTTGACCGCGTTTTGGAATAAAGCTCACTGTCCTTGAAATAGTGCATTACGGTACGCGTGACCTAAGTTGCCTATTACTGCACGGCGTGAAGTTAGCGCCTTGTAAAATTGAAAGTAAAATTCATGTATTGCAATACAGACTGCAAGTCAAACTGCGAAAAGAAAGAATTCCGGTTCAGATTACCATTTTGAAAGTATATTTCAAAAGGAAAAAATCAAATATCATTACAACAAAATAGGATTTCAATGTATCCATGAACGTTTATTCCTTGATTGGCATAACAATATATTAAACAACTGGAATGAGCTTTATTTTTTGTACTCGTATAATTCAAGAATCCCTAACCTATCGCTAATTTGTCATTTGTTTGCTGTGAGTTTTTAAGCTCCAAATGACATTTAAATGTGTTTCCTTTTATTTTTTCTACATGAGTGAAGTTGGTCAATTCATTTACACACCGTGCAGAAATAGGCAACTTAGGTCACGGAAAAGCGTGCGTCAAGTGCGGGTTTAGGTCACACTGTGCTATAAAATCATCTTGGAGCGAAAGATTACCACTTGACTCACTGCGGCGACTGGACACTGAATCTGATGAGGTCCCAGTCGATCGTGAGCTAATAGAATAGCATGCAGGCGTAGAATTATGGGACTTGGTTGAATAAGACGGGTTCGGTGACCACCGAGGTTAAACTAAGTGAGGTGAGGTGAGGTGAGGGTGAGGGTGAGTACGGAGTATTGAGCGGGTGGGTTGCAGTGGTGTCGTCGCTTCGGACGGCGCCGCGGCCCGGCTACGGACTCGCCAACAGGTCACATACCTTCTCTTCCAGCACCGCTGTAAGTATCCCTCATTATGATATGAATTATATTATAGATTAACTAAAAATCAAAAAAAAAAATCAAAAAAGTTTATTACGGTACCACATTTGCTTTACATCAAACCAGGGTGGGTTCCTTCTATTAAGTGTTTAACACCTGTACCAGAAGGAACCACTCTTCCATAGCATCATTAATATTTCTTATGGTAAGGTCTTTTCATTGGATTTTTAATACATTGTAAAAAAAATAAAAAATAAAAAATAGCAAACCAGTGAACCAAATGTTCACCAAAACCTGATTTTAAAAAAAATAATGTATTTAATTAATTGAGAACTTCGGAGATTTTGTGTGGTTTCGTTTGAAATTCGTGATTTCTCGAAAACCGGAAGTGCTACGTTACTCAAATCCGGTTTGTAGTCTTATCAGACTATTCTTAACTTATAACTTAAATATTCTCTTTATCTATCTCTTACGGTTTGGCCGCTGAAACAGCACCACAGACGGACGGACGGACGGAATTGTCTAATAGATAAGAGATACTCGTATTAAGTAGACAAATTGCATTGTTAATACACGACAAATGTAATTAATTTTTAAAGTTGACATTTTCATTATTATTATTATTGCTTATTGACATTGTTAAATCTAGTTTATAAAATTGAATTGTTTGTTGTGTAAAAATTAAATTATTATTATTGTTGTTTATTGACATTGTTAAATCTATTTTATTGGATATATTTGTTGTGTAAAAATGAAATGTGAACTAAGTATTATAATAATATAATTATTTAATAGGCCCTCTGAGTTGATATTTGCTATGCCCTTGCAGGGCGTCACATATTTACTTTACATAAATTAATGTACCACCATGAATGTTATGTGACATGCAATAAATGAATAAATAAATAAATAAATAGATTGCGCGGTCAGTGGAACACCGGTGGGTACCGCATATCACCAACACTGGCGACTCAGAATGCGCGCCGGGTGACCGGTGCAGGAGTATTGTCTGGTTTTTAGTGGCCCTGTTCAGGGCGTAGGCTGGCTGGCTCAAATGAGCAGCGAGGAATCCCAAATACCTTGTTCTCGCTCCCCCATTGCTTGAAGGATGCGTAAAGCATTTCCGAGACAAAGTAAAAAATTGTTAATACATAGTAGTAAATTGTTCTTTCATTCTATTTTTTTTTCTCTAATGCGTGGATTATTAAATGACTGTTTCTTATTTCTTTTAACAACAATATGAAGCAGGTAATATATATATAGTAAATAGTTAACCCTTCTTTGGAGGTTTTAAAGAGTACTTACATCTGACGACCTCCGTGGTGCGAGTGTGTACTATGTACGAAGAGTTTCGATGTGTCGCCTACTCAGAAGTCCCGGGTTCGAATCCCGGTCGGGTAGATGTTTCGATCCTGAATGATGAATATATGTGTTTTTAAGTTAGTTAGTTTTAAGTTATTATTTATTTTATTGAGCAACGTCAATTGAATTTTAAAACGGCGTATACTAAAAGGTTCGCAGAGTATTAATGAGATAAAACTTAACGTGACATACATTATTGTAATCCTTAGCAAAAAGTTACTTCAAAAGCATTGACAAGAAAAGGACGAAATAAATTTGTTTGCACAAACAAATTTAATTATTAGATTTATTTTTCCAAGTTTAAAACTATTGTAATATGTTTAGGGCGACTTCACATTCAGCGGCATGGGAGATAAGACGCACAGCACAGACTTCAGCAGCGGAAAATCTGACAGTGAGTATATCTTTACCTCATACACGTACAGACAACATTATACAAAACGCAGAATACTGTCAATTGATTGTTTAATTTTAAAGTTAAGTGAGAAATTGAGACAAATACTACTACTACAAATACTTTTTGTACTTTTATCTGAATCTACGTTGCGTTGTTATTGTAAATGAAACTACTAGGGGTCTTAAAGCATTTTTTCTTTTGAAGATATAATTTTATTCAACAAATGTATGGATTTACAGTAAGGATAAAACATGTAAAATTATACGACTTTTTAATCCATAAATAATAATAATAGTTTATTTTTCCACAAAGATAATGATTACATAGCTTATTATCACATAGGTATGACACAATTTTGACATAATATTATAGCTGCTGGTACTTAAAAAAAATACTCTGTGCTATAAGTACCAGCCTCTTTCATAAGAATTAGTTTATTAGTATTTTGTAAAGAAATATATAACTATGTGTATTCATCACTATTGTCCTCTCTGTGTGAAAAAATCCTTAAGCTTTAAATAGGAGTAAATATAACTTTTTTTTAATTTAAAATATTAATGACAGGCAATGATAATAATGGTCATAGATGGTAGAGTGTAGATAGGCCAGTGAGTGGACAGTTGTGTCACGGTAATAATATCATACAGTATTCTATCTTCATACAAACGGTCGGAAAGCGAGTCATACCTACGCCACTCGAGTTCGATGGGCTCTCGGCGGGCACCCAGTCGCGATCATGCGCGCCGCGCAGACGAAGACGACCGAACGGTCTGAATTGATTTTTATGCAGTTAGCCGTGCTTAAACGTGCGTTTTGTATTGTAAATATTTGATTTAATTATACTTAATTTACACCTACCTACATAATTTAGTATGGAAAAGAACAAACGACGATCAATATCGTACAACAGCACAATTGCTGTTTTTGGTTGCTTGAACTCTTCAATAACACACCCAGAGATATCATTTTTTAAATTACCTGAAATATTGGAAAGGTGTCTTACCTTTATAGAATATTTTTTATATACCTATCTACTAGTACGTAATTTATTTCTAATATTTAGGTATTTCGGTTTTTCCATCGGGCAAATTATCTGGAATAATATATAAATAAGTGGTTAGGATGAAAAAAGAGACAAACGAGTAATCTACCTACACTCGCGTTAAAAACAAAACTACATAAAATACTGTAGGCTGGCGGCCCTACCGCGTGCTAACGCAGCGCTCGGCCGTAGGCATTTATTTTCAAGGACAGGGCGGAGTCACAATGCTGTATAGATAATATTACCGTGGTTGTGTTGTGATGATACTTATCCTAAGCGAGTGTGTCTGTTGGTTTGTGCGCGCGCAGTGCGGACGGACCTATGCAGTAAGTATTGCGCGCTTCGCTTCCACGCTGCCCCGGTTCATCCACATGCTACTCGTATATCATACAAACAAATGATACCTTTGAATGTTGATGTCAAATATAAAATTTTTAGTTTATTAAATAAACTATAGATCTATTAAGTTCCCGTATGCTTTGCCTAATAAATATAATATTTCAATAATTAGAAAATGCTTTGATGGTGATATAATAAACTTAACTCGATGCTATTATGGGTGGAGTACTTTTCTGCTCAGTTGTTAACAATAAAAAAAAATAACGTAATAATAAAAGTTGATGTCAAGCCTTCTGCTTCGTAGTGGACAATGACAGCCTCAATGCTGTGTACAAGCGGTCGACGTGCCACTTTCTGTCCAGGGGGCCAATCGCCTAACGGAAATGCTTTGGAAAACGCTAACGCTTACGATTTTATTTTGTTATTTCTAGCCGCCTGAGGTATTCAAATGCCTCGCGCTCTTTCTTTTTCTTTTGCATTGGTAATAACAATATTAAAAAAAATGAGCGTGAGGTATTCGACAACCTCAGGCGGCTAGAAATAACAATATAAAATCGTAAGCGTTAGCGTTTCCCAAAGCATTTCCGTTAGGCGATTGGCCCCCAGACGCTTAATAAATGCCTTTCCTTTACATCACAATATATTTTTTGTCCAAAACGTATTCTCTTACATTTAAAATGACGCTTTTACCCATAGGGATGATGACTCATTTTTTAGATTATCAAAAAGTATTGGACACACATTATTTTTTTTCACATAATATAAACATTGCAGAGACATATTGATTTGAAAAGTCGCATGACTTCACGTTTTGGAAAAAAATTCACTTAAAAGTGACGTCACGAGCCCCTACCACCAAACTTTGACGCGCTATAACTTTGTCATTTTTTAGTTGATTGCCCAAAGAAAAAATACGTGTCCATTATTTTTTGATCATCTAACTGACGGACTCAACAGAATTTCGTTTACTTTACCCCGTTATCATGCCTATTAGCAAAGTACAATATTTTATGTGTAGTGTAGGTTCAATAAGTCATAATCCATTATCCCTGTAGTATCAAGTTTAAATTTAATTTTTTTATTAAATTGTATATCATAAAATAAATATTGTTTTCAAATTGTCGTGGCATTTTTAATAGTTTCGCTTTCGCCATCGGCGCAAAGGACACTGCTTATATAATATTAGTACTATCGTTAGAGTAACTTTTCACAAGAAGCGTTCATAATCACTCTAGTTATTGCCATATATTTACATTACCATATAATATAATATGCAGTCATGATATACTTTAACAAACAAATGTCGTTTTGTGTTCCTTTACAGTATCCGCTGGATCCATCACTGACGTGGATAGGAGTGCTGTGGTAAGTTTTAAGTCCCAACTCTATTATATTTTAATATAATTATCAAATTTTATCACTTTAGCTGGCAATAAATCTCTTATTTCTTAACAATAAATATTAGTTCCACCTTATCACATTTTTATTCAAGTTGCAAATTAAAGATTTTTAGGGCGATAATTTCATAATGATTTTTTAACCTTTTTAAATGAGAGCTGTTAATTACAAAAACTTCTATTCTTTTTCAAAAACCAGTTTCTGAAAGGTTTGTCAACTAACATGCCTGTCGAATTAATAACAGCGGTCAATTAATTTGAGTTTCTGAAACGAAAATTAAACAATCAGAATGGCGCTTGTCTTAACAATTTTTGAACAAAATTTTACAGTTCTTGTCAACTGGTTGGTGAATACGTTTTCAGCAATTCAATTGACACTAGAATTATGGTTTGTTGGGTAGTTTTATCGCTGAATAGCCTCAACATCATCTTTTTAATAAATATTATGCACTTTTCACCTTTTTTTTTCTGGTAACAAAAGTTAGGCTGCCTGTCCACGGGAGCGGAGCGTGACTGCGGTGCGGAGAAACGGAGAAATATTTAACCAATAAGATCCTCCACCTTCCATTACATCATTTAGAATATAAATATATAGTTCCAATAAAATTTATAATTAACATTATATTTAAGGCTAGTGCATATATACAACTTTTAGTTGAACAACTATTTTGTTGTGTATCGTATGTACATAGCAATATATTGAAGCGCACATAGTATCAACTCGATAGTTGCTCAACAAAAAAGTCAAAAAGCTATATCGATCTGCTTTCGATTAAAAAGTTTAACAACTATCGATCAAACGCTTAATTTGTATTGCATTGTATTGATGTGCACATACCATCGACTAAACAGTCGATCCGCGACTGTCAGTCTAGCATAAGCATTTGGAGCGGCTTCACGTCTCTTGTCACCATGGCGGGCTTTGCGGGAACTATTACGGGGGATACAGAGGAGTTCATTATTAGTGTAGAAAAGAGAATTCAGACATAAATCTAAAGAAAAAGCTTTAATTGACATTATTTGTAACACCTTGACTCGAGCGCTGCTAAATAAAGACTGGTAGAATTGAGGAGATTAAAAAAATAAATGTGTGCGTGTACTAGTGTACACACACGTAAGAAGTGAAACTTCTTTATGGCCTTATTTTTTTCGAAAAATGATCTACATGCAACTTTCCAGAAATATATATATAGGCGTGCGCTAAGATTTTTCAAAAACTCACCCACTAAAGGGGTATAACTACACCTTACCTTACCTTACCTTACCTTGTGTGAAACACGAATATTTGCTGTAGATACTTTTTTTTTTTTTAAAGTTGACAGAAGAGGTAAATAAATAGTGCTCTTTTAAAAAAAAGATGGCGCGTAACCAAAAAACGTGACGCGTAACCGAAAAAAATGTGACGGTAAATTTTTTTCCAACGCCGATAAAGAAGTTTCACTTCACAAACGATGATCGACTGCATCAATTGTATGCGTACCTCCATCAACCAAACGGTTTAGTTGTGTGGAAATCACGAGAACAACGAAACGCGACAAAACAGTTTAGTCGATGCAAAAGTTGTATATACAGGGCCGGATCTACCATATGGCTTATTGGGCTTCAGCCCAGGGCCCCGTGGATTCAAAGGGCCCCCAGCTATGTCAAGTTTAGTCAAAAATAGACGATAATGCAAAGAATCCATAATTTTATTAACCCGTAACTCCCGGTATGTATTTCTATCAAACGAAAGTGCCCGTACGGTTATTAACGGTTATTATCGCGATGATTTCTATAGAATAAATACATAACGACGATGTTAAACTTACGACTTAACTATTAATCCTTTTTGTCCATAAATGTTGATTTAACTAAGGACCTAGAATGTGAGAAGCAAATTTAAGAATTTGCTAAAGGAAAGTGCGGAAAGGTTTTAATTTGTCAATTTATTTAAATTAAATATTTTACAGCCTCATTTCCTATACTTTGAGTATTTAGGTGGGCCCCTAAGTAGTATTAGCCCAAGGCCCCCTAAACTCAGTCCGGCCCTGTGTATATATGCGCTAGCCCTTAATATATAGGACTTCGATTCATGAAGCGGTCGGTTCGTGAAGCACGCGGGTGTAGGGTGACAAGAGTGAGTGGATGTTTGCACAGAGCACTACGGACGGCGTGGGCGGGCCGGTGCTGCGCGGGGGCAGCACCCTGGGCGGGCGGGTGTTGGGCGTGGGCGGCGCCAGCGTGGGCGGGGGCGTGGGCGGGGGCGGAGTGCGTCGCTCTCTGCCCAACATGGCGACGTCTCACCTGCTGCACGAGCCCGCCAAGCTGTACCCCTACCATCTGCTGCTCATCACCAACTACCGCCTGCCGCCCGACGTCGACCGCCTCAACCTCGAGGTGAGTGAGATAAACAAACAGGATATAAAACACAAATCAGATTTAAGAAATCTCTGATTAAGTCAGAGGAATTCGCTGAAACCTTTTTTTTTTTTTTTTTTTTTAATGTCTAGAAAATGCATGACACCGCAGCCGGTTTCACAAAAAAAAAAGACTTAACATCGATCGAAATTTTGCACATTCCTTACTCTGTTTCTATTTCATTTTGGAAATTCGTTCATGCGATAATAGATTGACATTTAAATTCTCTAAGCCTAGTCTAATTCACAAAACTTTTGAACTAAAAATTTAATTTGACAGTTTATTGTTCGAAATTTTAACCTCAAATTGACGAAATGAAAAGTGAGCGTGTTCGAAGATGAAATAGAGTAGAGTTACTGGCGAAATTTCGTTTAAAATTCGTTCGTTGCCGAAATTTCGTTTCGGAGAAAGAGAGTAGAGCTCCTGGTCACGTCGATGTCAGGAGACGCGGTATAGGCCCCTTAGTTCAGATCTAGTGTCTATAATCATCATCATCATCATCATCAGCCTCTTTATGTCCCCACTACTGGGGCACAGGCCTTCCCTATGGATGGAATAGGGAGATTGGGCCATGACCCACCACGCGGGCCCAGTGCGGATTGGCGGGTTCTAACGATTGCAGATGCAACCGGGACCAACGGCTTAACGTGCCTTCCGAAGCACGGAGGAACTCGAGATAGAAATTTTTGGTCACCCATCCAAAGACCGACCACTGCGAAAGTTGCTTAACTACAACGATCGCAGCCGAACGCGCTAACCACCTGCGCCATCGAGCTCCTCGTGTCTATAATACCCACCCTCTTTACTCATACCCCGCTCTCTCACACATTCACAGCATGTAGTGCCTGGCCTTACCACGAACTATTATCAAATCTCAACACGTTTAAAATGTATGTGATTTCATCGAGAGCGGATGGCGTTTTTTTTTTAATTATTATTAAATTCATTCATATTGGATATTGTGAAATAAAATTGGTGTGTCTTGGGTTACAAGAAACTGAAACACTCCAAGAAGCATTAGAATGCCTCACACCGACATTCGAATGTAAAAAGAAAAACAGAATAATTTAACTTAAGACTAGGCTGTATGGGCATTGTTCCCCTTGCCTTCCCTGAAAAGGGAGAATTTAACAAAAAAAATATTTATGATTTTATTTATTTTTAAAGCATTTAACTGCTAGATGTTTAAATCTAAAGAGAAGTTTACTAGAAAAAAATCCACGCGGACCAGGCAGCGGATTATAACTATAATTGCTATTTCTTCTTTCAAATGTTTAATACTTGAAAAAGTATTCATTTGACATTGTGGGTTGCCTACAATGCGAAGAGATGGCGCTGCCTTGCAGCTTAAAGCTAGGAAAATTTCGACGCGGCTAATAGGGCCGCGGTAGCATAATGGTCAGTGCATTCGCCCGGATAGCGAAGGATGCGGGTTCGAGTCCCGTCCGCTGCCTGGTCCGCGTGGATTTTTTTCTAAAAAAAATATTATAAAAATGTTTTGTCGCAGCGCCACCTGTCGGACGCTGAGTTCGAGGCGATCCTGCAGACGGGCCGCCAGGAGTTCTACCGCCTGCCGCAGTGGCGCCGCAACGAGCTCAAGCGCCGCGCGCGCCTCTTCTAGGCGCCGCCCACTGCCCACTGCCCACTTCCCACTGCTGGGACCGCACCGATCGACGCGTCATCGCCATCTAACGTACCGCTCCCAAACTAACACCAGCGGATTTTAACTTTCGTTCGGGTTACTTTTACGAATACTCCTCAGCTGTTGAAGATCTTGTCTCTACGCTATTTCATATTTAGGCGCGTCATACTTTAACGCTATGTTCTGCGAAAGAGTAGGAGTATGTCTGCGGACGCGGGCGATCGGTCCTTCGAGCCGGATGCTGCCGGATTGATTTATGTAATTTCGTCGCTTTGAACGATTCGCTGTTTCGATTGTTATGACTAGGATTTTTTAAAGAATCATGTACGATTATTGATTGATTAATGAACACCGAATCGCATCCGTGTGTGCGCGTGCGTCGATCGCACGTCCAATTTTATATTATTACAATTTTACCGCGTTAACTTATTTTGTAGTTGTAGTTCCTCCGGTAGAGTCGCGCACAGTGCAGCTAAACGCTAACCTTTTAACGATTATTACGACTCATTTTTTACCTTTTAACGATACCGATAGTGATGATATTATAATAAATATTCACAAAATAATAAATATAATAATATATTTAATTTAAACTAGCCTATTTAGTGGGTGGGGCGAGTTCATAGAACTCGGTGGCGACGACGAGCGGAAACTTTGATGGTTACCGTGCATCCGAAACGGCGTGCAATAGGGGTGATGACGGGGTACAGTAAACGAAATACTATTTAGTCCGTCAGTTAGATGATCAAAAAATAATGGACACGTATTTTTTCTTTGGGCAATCGACCAAAAAGTGACATAGTTATAGCGCGTCAAAGTTTGGGAGTAGGGGCTCGTGACGTCACTTTTGAGTGAATTTTCACTTATAAGTGTACTCAAACGTGACGTCATGCGACTTTTCAAATCAATATATCTCTGCAATGTTTATAATATATGAAAATAGAAAAAAATACGTGTCCAATACTTTTTGATAATCTACCTGATAAACGAAGAAAAAAAATTAGTCATCATCCATATTATAACAGTTTGACAGGAGATTCCTCGACACGATATTCCGTTGATTCTTTTGCAATTATACTTGATTCTTATCTCAACGAACTGAAAGTGCAATAATCTATATATTTATGATTCCAATACATTTGAACGTTATTCTTGGAGCTGTTCTCGGTCGGGGTGTATCTCTTCGAGGCGATCGCAATAGTTTTAAATCCTACCGTGTAATTGTGAACTATATTTTTTCTATGTCATGCCAGCGCAGAGACAAGTCAGTTTCATAGAGAATATAGACTTACCACGCCGCCGTCGCAGCCGCAACAAGTACCCGTACAATTGTAATATCGATGCCTTCGATTCAAATTTAATTATATGAGGAAATATATAATGGTAATATATATAATTTATATACATTGTGATTGGTGTGTAACGTTGATTTACTATTTTAGTGAGAACCAAATATATTACGACGCGTAACTGACGTTGTATTGCTTAGTTTTAAGTCTGGCAGATGTAGGAACATTGACGCGACTCGAGCGCCGGGCGACTCTCACACTTACGGCGACGGCTTAAGGTTTATTTTCTTATAGTGTTTTCGGTGCTGCTGCTGTCACAACATGCCTCGATTTTATGTTAACTCTTATCTTAAGGAAGGCATACATTTTAGAATTACAGTTTCCAATAAAATCCCTAATTATAAAAATAATATAAAAAGATTATATATTTTGCATGCTTATACAGCGTGTATCAGAAATAACGTACATCGTACTTTGGTTGGAATGGGCTTCTGAATCGAATTTAATAAAAAATCCGAAAAAATAGTGATAATAATTTAATCTTTCCAAACAAACGAATCTAGTACATAATACAAGGTGATAAGAGTTTCTTTAATGCAATTGTTTATTTAGTAATTCTACCAACCATTGATGTATCACATATAAATGAATAAATTTCAGTTTTTCAACTATTTTGTAACGAACTAGTCGCAGAGTGTGCGGTATTTGTGTTGCACGTTGTATGTAATGACAAATATTACCCTGCCTATATGAAAGATGGTGTGTTGGACTGGTCTGCACAATTTCTTTGCCTTTTCTAATAGGCTTTCTTCTCTCTCCTAAAATCTGTTTATGTATCGAGTCTGTTTATTTTAAAACTAACTAAACTAAACTCTTGTAAGTTTTAAAGTTTATTTTTCTTTGTAATGGCAAGAAGGCAGAAATCTAATATAAGAAATCAAGTGTATTTCAGTGACCACTCGCCGTCGTCTCTCGATAGGCAGGGTTTAAGCACATAGTCCCTGTAGTCCAGCGCGCTCAGCGCGAGTTTTTATTTAAATATTTAATCGAATACGTGATCGTCGTTTCGTCACCGAAGTTTGCCAATAGATGGCGTTGTTCGTATATTCTACCGTTTTACAAATATATTAAAAGTGAGTGAAGAATTTAAGTATGAAGCACCGTTCTCCGAAAGCATTTTCAAATATAAAGAGCCGTTAGCTTTTGCTTGAAATAAAAGTTGGATTAGGTTAAGGTTTTACTCTATAGGGTAGCTCTGGGATTAATGGACGTAGTATTAAGAAAATTAAACGTTAAAAGTGCTTTCGGAGATGAAATATTTCTCGTTGAAAACTCGCTTTGAGCGCTAAATTATCACCGGTTCTATTAGCTGAGGTGCTAGCGGGATGCGAGTCGCCTCGCTGAACGTCGCTGTGGACATATCAACTCGGAAAGGGCGAAGCGATTACGTTACGAACCCGATTAGTGTGAACAGCTCAAGTTTATACGGTGACGATCTTCCGACTTGATATGTCTGCTACGAACCTGTCATAGATATGTTGATGTTCCTAAACTATTGAGGTGCGTGATGAGTACTTGTAGGTATACGTGTGTGCGTGTGTGTATGTGTGTGTGTGCGTGCGTCGGCACGCATTGTTTTTAATTTTATTCTAGGCAGATATTAATTTCGGTTGCAATATATTGGAGCGTAGGTGGTATGCATCGTAATGTATGCATATATATTGAGTATCGGAGCTCGCGAGCGATGTCTGAGCGTAACACGGCGGGCACTGTTGACGACATTTAACCATCTTTACTATCTATAACGGATATTTGAGTGAAATCTTTAATTATGATTTTATTTATCTTTTAAGCATTTAACTGCTCTATGTTTAAATCTAAAGCAAGGTTTACTAGGAAAAAATCCACGCGGACCAGGCAGCGGACGGGACTCGAACCCGCATCCTTCGCTATCCGGGCGAATGCACTGACCATTATGCTACCACGGCCCTATTAGCCGCGTCGAATATTTTTTTTTTTTTACTAGAAAAATTTTTTTTTTTTTACTAGAAAAAAATTTTTTTTTTTTACTAGAAAAAATATTTTTTTTTTACTAGAAAAAAAAAATATTCGACGCGGCTAATATGGCCGTGGTAGCATAATGGTCAGTGCATTCGCCCGGATAGCGATGGATGCGGGTTCGAGTCCCGTCCGCTCCCTGGTCCGCGTGGATTTTTTTTTTCTAGTAGACCTTTCTTTAGATTTAAATCTTTAATTATTAGTAGATACCCGTTTCGTAACCGTGACGTTTCTTGGTCTGTCCAAGTAGATGAGTATTTCTTTGTATCTATACATTATTTTTCGTGTGTACTTCTAGTTCTAAGACTGAAGTGATATTTTCGATATATGGTTATGAGAAATGTGGATATCTCAGTGCCCTCCGAATGACGCGATACGTGAATATATTCTCCTATATAAACAGTGTACTTGATATCTTCAATGTGTATAATTGTTGCTGTCTACCGTCTTATAACTATTGTAAACATTATAGTGAAAACTTATCAGGCAAGGATATTATAGTGAATGCACTCATTATGTAGGCGCTCCCGAACCACAAAGTGAACGTATACAGAGTAGCGACTCCATAGTGAAGTTTGCAACGAGTGCTACTCATAAATACTCACTCACTCAAAGTTCAGAGTAGGGATGCTCGATGAACATCGATGTTCGATGATCATCGATGTTGAAAGCAAAAACATCGATATTGCTATACGAAAAATATCGTAACATCGATGTTAACGGCATCTATCATCGATGTTAACTCACGGCCTCACGCACGACACGACCAATGCAACTTACGAAACAAAATATGTCTTTTATGAACGTATCCACAAATCACGTTTATTTTGAACGCGTATGTATTCATTGAGGGCGCACCGGTCGTTCGTTCCTTTCATTCGTACGTTCTTCGTCGTCTCCTCGCTCGCTCTCTCTCTCACTCCCATTCGTTTGTTGATAAAAAATTTGTTGTGCCGGTTGTGCGTGCGTCGGCTGTTTTAATTTACTCATTTGATAGTATTCTATTATTGAATCATCGATGGTATCCAACATCGATGTTCGGTTTTCGATAAATATCGAACATCGATGTCGGGCTTTCGATTATGACATCGATGTCAACATCGATGTTTTTCGAATATCGATCATCCCTAGTTCAGAGTACATTTGAGCGGTCACGATTCGCGTACACGTGTGGCCCAATGAGCGTGCACCTTATTCGCCTTTCACTATGGAACTGAAAATCTGTGTATATATTTTGTTCCTTATCTACTACGCAATGGAGTCACTGTTAAAGTTTTGTTAATTACATTGGGCCCGATTTTAGCAGGATTCTCTAAACTTAAATCTAAATTTAACAAACTTTCGGCGTTTCATTCTTTATAGAGTATACAAGGATACATTGTTGTCAAATTTTCAGTCTTACATGATCATGCTTAAATCGTACCCATTGACGATTTCTTGATTGTACCCATTAGTGTTGTGTGACACAAAGATAGTAATTATTATAATGTTAGAAACAAATAAACTTTGATTTTTATTTTATTTTGGCTTTCGCGGTAGAAGCAATGATTAGACCGTCGCCGGCTGTCGTTTTGTGTCGCGAGCGTGCGAGAGTGATCTAAATTATTTATATTGTAACTGCGTAGATGTATATAGAGTTTATTTTGTAATATGCTTATATGTATGTACTACAGAGATATATGCGGGTCGGAGCCTGCAGCGAGCATTCATATATATATATATATATAATAATATATATATTATTATTGTAATAATTATAAATTTCTATGGCGATTTGAGTGAGAGTCGAATGAAAGGGATTTTATCAGTGATTTTTAAGTGAAGACTATGCTTTTGAAGTAATAAAGATATTGCATTTCGACTCGCGTTTTTCTCTCTCTTAACACTATATTTTCTTTCTTTCAAAGATATGCCATAAGACTGTTCTTAATATGATGTGTTATCTTCGGGTCGGTACCATCCGCCCCGGTTGTTGCGCCGGAAACGGAAACACGGGAAAAAAAAGTTCCATCGACCCCGGTAGCTCCGACGATGGTGTTTTTTTTAATGGGACGGTGGGCAGATATTAAGAAGCATATGCTCTCATCATCAGCTTATTAATGTCCCCACTGCTGGGGCACAGGCCTTCCCTATGGATGGAATAGGGAGATTTTACCACGAACCTCCACACGGATTGGCGGGTGCCGACGACTGCAGATGTAGCCGGGACCAACGGCTTCACATGCCTTTCGAAGCACGGAGGAGCTCGAGATAGTAAATATTTGGTCACCCATCCAATGACCGACCACTGCAAAAGTTGCTTAACTTCAACGATCGCAGCCGAACGCGCTAACCACTTGCGCCATCGAGAGCACCTCCAATATACAGCATATGCTATGGCTTATGCTAACCGCCCGTTAGGAGGTGTCCAAACAGGGTAGTACCCCGTCAAGGGGGCGGGACGACGGGGGTGGATGGTCCCGACCCTAAATCTCAGTTTTCTGGAGGGGAAGGGGGTGCAAAATAGGCTAGTTGACCCTTTTTGGAAAAAGGTTTTAAATGGTTAATAAATGTTCTATTAGACCGAAAAAAATGTATGTTTTTGAGACCTAGAAAGCTACAAATCTTCAATTTTAAAATAGACTTTTCATGGACATACAAAAACGCTGTCGGCCATTTTAGTCTATAGATTATCTGTGCTATGACGTCAACCTGTAGTAAACAAAAACTCGTAAGCACGTAGAAAATAACTAAACTATCTGAAATATTTTTTAAAATTAAATTTCTACAGCAATCTTCTGCTTTTATGAAATGAAATCGATATATTTAGATTCCTTAGATCAAATACTTTAAGAAATAAACATTTATTTAATACAATTCGACATGAGTCAACTAGCCTATTTGGTAACAAAAGCCATTATTCTTCTTTTTGGTAATTTAATTAGTAAAAGTTTTATTATTCGTGGGTCGAGTCCTTTACTTGGTCCAGTGGTTCATGCTCTCGGGGAGGCACACCGACTCCTGCAGGTGGAATCTGCTCCAGTAGTCTGCCGCATTCAACAAAGAGTTTCATATTATTAAAGACTATGTTTGAATTTGGATCTTATCACTCCAGCAATATCATTGATAAATATTAGGAAAAATAAGGGCCCCAAGTGAGGCCCTTGTGGTACACCTGAGGGTATAGTCCTAGCTCTAGATTTATATCCGTGTATAGTAACCAACTGGGATCGATTCCTCAGGTACGACTCGCACCATCTCAAGAGTGATCCTTGCACACCCATGTATTCTAGCTTTAGAAGTAAGTAGTAATGATTCAAAATTATATTTCAGACAAAAATGCTTGGGTTTTAACTGTTCCAAAAGTTCCGGCAGGGGTTTTATATAATTACCAGCTGACTCAGCGAACTTTGTACCGCCATAAAAATAGAGGCAGGTGGTAGAAGAGAAAATTTAGGCTTGTATTTTTTTTAATACCATATTATATATATATATATATTGTCCAAAAAATATTTTAGCGGTGTGTAACGTTCTATCAACTTCCTGGGATAACATTCCTCCTAACTCATATGAGATCAGTACGTTACAATACCCAATAGTTTGAATTCTGGCGCGAAGGCGCATTGTAGGTTTCAGAACACTAAGTTACAGGTGGACAACCATTATCACTTAAGGATATGAAAATAGATAGTAGCCGATTCTCAGACCCATGGAATACGCATATAAAATGTTATAAAAATCGGTCCGGCCGTTTCGGAGAAGTATGGTAACTAACATTGTGACACGAGAATTTTATATATAAGAGATGATGAAGATGATATGATTTGTATTGACACTATAATAATATAATACTTTGTTAATATTGTTACATAATTATTTAACGCTGTAAAGTCCTTTTCGCCAGTTTTTCTCCACAGCTAAAAAATGGCCTTAACCAGTACTAGGGGAAAAAATATGAACGATTTATGAGAGTTGTGAATTGTGCATTCAATATGAATATTGACTTTGAAAAAAAAACAACTTATTTCAGTATTTAACTGCTTGATTAAGTCTTTACATAAGTGAATAAAGTTTCCACTAGAGAAATTTAACTCTGCCCATCTCAGCATCATGTCTTAATATCTTTGACATAGCTTTCGAATGTGAAGAATTCTTTAGTGGCTGCTGACACGGACCACTATTTTCTACGCGATATGTTTGCTATTTGTGCATGCTCGCGGTCAAATGTGCAAACAGCCAACACGAATAGCCATGTGAGGTACAAGCATAAGAGCGAACATACCCTCTTGGTCGCCGGCGAACTCCGAGCAGTACTCGCGCATCATCGAGCAAACGGACGAGTAGTATCTTGCGTTCCAACAGATTATGTCGGGCCTGTAATAGTAGGTATACTTGTAATAGGTAAATAGGACTGTCCAACCACGGATCGAAATCAGAAAAGAATTGCCTTAGCACGAACACATATCGAATAGTTTTGTTATATGTATTAGTAGTGAAACGGAACGCAAGTCTTACTTCCCGCTAAAATGATTGTCATCGGCTGTCACTTTTTGCTAACTGACAATGGTCGTGTCATGGTCGTCTTACAAATAAAAACTAATTATAATATATGTCTTTTTTAATAGTAAAACATGGTGTCAGATGTGGGATTCGAACCCACGCCTTCAAAGAGGTCTTTTTTAATAGTAAAACAAGTTTGCGAGTGCGAAATGTCAATGTCATATTTTGTTTTGAACAGCAGCGCCACGACGGTCGTAACGAGAACTAAAAATCAGTACACATTTGACAATGAAATATCGGACTCGCAAACGATTCCAATTCGATATTGGTTCGTGCTAAGGATACTGAACCCTTCTTGAGTATCGACTGTGGACAAGGGAGCCTCCGGAGTAGTAGTAATGTTACATAATAAAAA